CTTCTCAAGATAAGAGATGATGTCACATGGTACATAAGGAAGCTAGGCTTGAGCAAGCTCTTCAAGCTAGAGTGTAGTGAGTACTCACAACTCACCAAGGAGTTCCTCTCCACAGTAGCTCTTGCCTTTCCCAACCACAATGGAGACCAACCAGCTGGTGATGGACTCCTACTCTTCAAGATAGGCGATGCCAATGGGCGCATCTCCATCTCAGCTCTATGCCAACTCTTTGGACTTCCCAATGAGACAGCACATGACTTCAAGGAGAACTCAAAGAGGAAACAAGCTGCCTTTGCTGATTGGACACACTTTGCCAATGAACCATTCTTGCCTTCAAGGTCAAAGGTGTCTAGAATCACTCATCCAGCCATTCGCTATGTGCACCGCCTCATCTCCACCACTTTCCAATGCAAACAAGAAGCCAACAAGGTCACAACTGATGAGTTCTACATCCTCACCACACCATTCATCAAGCATGAGTACAAGGCCAACCTTGGACTTTTACTTGCCAAGACATTCATCAATGTGAGGAAGCTAGCTCAAGACTTGGAAGGCAACAAGAAGCTTTGTGTTCGTTTTGGGAGGCTTATCACGGCCATAGTACTGCATGTGGGGATTGACATTCCCAACTATGAGCCACTACCCAAGCCAACCCCTTTGGATCTCCATGCTCTTCAGCACATCCACTTCCTAAACCGTTGGACTAAAGACCCAACTCGGTTTTGCTATGAGTTTCCAATTGGTCCAGCCAACACTTCCCTTGTCTTGCTGCCACATGAAGACATCCCAAGCCTACGCTCAGGAGTTGTCACTTTCCAGCCCAATGAGGAAGACTTCTATGTTCCATCAAGTGAGAAACCATCATTCCCCATGCTCACCTATCGCACACTTCAGCATGCAGTCAAGACTCAACGCCGCCTCCAAGAACGCCATGTTCTCACTACTGGCATGGCCGCGCATCAGGCTCTAGACCGTGTTAACAAGCTGGAGAAGATAGTGGAATGCCAATCTCGCTTCATCTCACGCCTAGTCCGTGTAGTTCGCCACATTGCACCGGAGAGACTCTTTCGCCCTTCTTCCACCGCTAGAGAGCCATATGAGCCTGACCTTGGTGAGTTCTCACTAGACTCAGAGCTTGGTTCAGAAGGCGATGACCCCATAGATGAGGAAGAGAGTTCTTCTCACTGCCACACATAGTCATCTCAAGTGGTACTTAGTGCAATGGACACTTACAAATCTCCATTTTCTATCCCTATCTCATTTTAATGAATTTTTCTTTATTTTTCTTTTACTTTGAATATTACCTCTCACCTTAATGTGATTTGCTTTCACCGGGACGGTGCAAGTTAAGTCTGGGGGGAGTTTTATTGTGTTACTAATGCATTTTTCTTTCTTTTCTTATGTTTTATTCACTTTGTTTCATGTTTTTCAAAAAGTTTTATTGAGTCAAAAACCAGTCCGGAAGTTATGAACTTGCTTTGAGAATTGAGAGTGTTGTGCTAACAATCCATGACCCTAGAGCAGAAACCAGCTAAAGGCACAAGCCTAACAGAAGCTCTTACAGTGGATCGACATGCTAGCTCAGCAAAATTTCTAAGGTAACCAAGCAATCTAGAGTTAACCTCACCTTAATCAATCTTAATTACTCTTGTCAAGGGGGTTGGCATACATGTCGACAGTTCCTTGCTTGATTTTCAATAAGATTTGTCTAATCTTTAAAGAGTTCTCCTCTCTCTCCCATCCCAAATGGTAAGTAATGTTATGAGAAAAAGCTCAAAGAGCACAAGGAAACAAGTAAGCATGAGGAATGCATATGTCTGTACCTTCATGTCTTATGGAATACCTTAGTCAAACAAGGAACAAGCTAAAGACTTATCCTGTGGTTGAAAGAAGGGTCAATAGAAAAAATAAAATGATACCCTAGAAAAGTAGGGAGAAATTGACCTTTCAAAGTTCTGATGTGAGAAAGAGAGAGGAAAAGAACTCATTGCACTTAAAGAGGCAATCTTGGAGAGGATCAAGTGGGTAAGAACAAGTTCAATTGATCGATGTCCCCTTGATAAAGAATTCACGCTTTAAATTTATGCAAGAGGTTAGCAATAGAGAGTTTGGATTGCTGGATGAGACTAGTTGGGTTGGTATTGTTCGCTAAACTTGCAGGGTGTATGTGAAGCTAACCTTATGTTGTCTATGTTCATAGTGGAATACAGGAAAGGAACCTTTCACAGGATATTCAAAAGAGCAAGGGAGCTTCCACGTTTTCAAACCTCTTTCACGGATTTAGATTCTTTTTGCTTGAGGACAAGCAAAGATCTAAGTCTGGGGGAGTTGATATACCTCTAATTTACCCACTTTTTATACTGTTTTAGCATTGTTTTCTAATGGTTTTTGGCAGGTTTTCTATCTAAAAAGGTAGTTTTACTGTGTTTATAGTGTCTAGAGTCTAAACAGGTGAAATGATGCATTTTGGAGCAAAACCATAGGATTTGCACTTCAAGCCGCTCCATGCACAAGCACCAACTTTAAGAGGGCCCAGAAAAAGATCTACTCAATGGATTTCATCAAGACCAGTTCCCTGCGTGCTCTGATTGAGTTAACTTTCCAACGCAACTGGAACGGCCTAATTTGGATGAGTAGAAAAGGAGTTATAACCAAAAGAGTGAAGACTGTCCAGACGGCTCTATCGAGAATCAGCGCCCAACCGCGCAGTCCGGCTGGCCGAGAAACTATGTTTCGCGCTCGGCCAAAGTCATTCCGTCCGTCTGAAGTCTCGGCCAAAGTTCCAAACCGACCGGCCGATCACGCAACGCGACCCGGGAAACATTGTCCCGCGGTCGGCCAAGCTCAAACGCTCACGCCACGCCGCGCACGACCAAGCGCGCGAGCCGGGAAACAAGCCTCGCGGCCGCGCAACCCGTTCGCGTACCACGGCCGATGCATCCGTCCGAGCCGGGAAAGAACGTCCCACGTCCGGCCGAGAACCATCGGCCAAATCTCAATCCGTCGACCACGCCGGCCGACCGTGAATCCATCCGGCCCGACCGTTCCGACTCGGCCACGACCCGACTGTCCGGCCGATCGTCCCGCACGACCGTCCCAACGCCGCGGTCGACCCGAAGCCCTTTTGAAGCCCAAACTTATGTTTTCAAGCCCGGCTTAACCCTAGCCGCCTCTAGAAAGACCTAGCACTATATATATATTTTTAGCCTCTTGAGAAAGAGAGCCGCCCTGTATTTCGATTTCCTACTCTAAGTTTTATTGCAATCATGTTTTCTTCATCTCTATGTGTGTTTGCTTTGATCATGTCTGAGTAATCCACTAGTTAGGTTGCTAGGGTTACTATTCAATGAGTTGCTTGCATGATCTTTGATTTCAATGATTAGCTAGGGATTATATTAGAGTCTTTGTCTCGTCTTGTGCACTTAACTAATGCTGATTGCTTTACCGCGCATCTAGTAATCCGATCTTAGGTTGATTTGAGCCTCGACAGTGCTGTATCATTCGCCGGACATATTCTTTGACAAGCTAGGTTTCTTAGACTGCGAAAGTTGATCTATCTATATCTAGTGAACTGTATCAGAACCTATTCATTCTAATGCTTGATCTAATCACCTAGGGACATACCAAAAGTTTAGCGACTAGGTAGATTAGCAAAGGAGCCGGAGCCTCGAAAGTGGAATGGTTTTATATTCGTGATCTGTGTTCTAGATGGTTCTTAATATCCCAATATCCCTAATCAATTAATCTATCATTGTTTCATTGATCATTGCTTGCTTCTCTGCGATAGCCCCTATGACCTAGCGCTTTTCCTTTATTGCTTTACAACCTCGTTATACTTGCTAGTTCGGTTCACCATTACAACCTCAATCATACTTTTGTTTTAGCTTGATCCAAAATCCATAGTTACAAAGTGTACTCAATAGCCAGTCCTTGTGTTCGATACCCATACTTCCGCGATCTGTGCACTTGCAGAGGTCTAGGAGTTTGGTAAAACCTGACTCCGCATCACTCACCCAATTCCTTATTCACTTGGGCGTGGTCCTCAACTTGATCCTCAGCTCGATCGAGTTCAGACTCCTCTTCTCGCAACTTATCCTCATGCCCAACTAACGTGTGAAGTGGAGGGCTGAAGTCAATGTTGTTGCCTCCTACAACTGTGGTGAGCTCAGGGTTGGGCAAGAGCAGCTTGGAAGGGCCAGCCATGGGGTGTGTGAACTTAAATTGATACCTCCCATTCACTTCCTTGTGATCTATGAGGTAGTTGACCTTGCAAAATTTGATGTCCATCCACCCTGGTTCAGTGGCTCTCTTATTAGTTGGGTTCACGCCAGCAGCACACAAGATAGGGGTGATGAGTCCTCCAACACTTAGTCGTCTCCCTTGTTGATATCGAGTGTTGTAGGCCGTGGTCTTGTAGGTGAGGAGATGATCAAGGAAAGGCATCAAGTTCCTTGTGTTGGACCTATCTCCCCTAATCCTCTTGCCATCGCTTGTGTGTGAGAGAATGGGCTTGATTCCCATGTCAAGAAGCTTGAGTTCCCCTTCATTTATGGTGCCGGTTGCTTTCCTTGCAAAAGAAGGTGTTGGCGAGTGCCTTGTGCACATACCTCAGCACTGGACTCCTGATTTGAGCAGCCTTAGACCTTGAGAAAGAGTATCCCACCTCAGCGATTGTAGCCCAAGCCCTTTGGAGTTCCTTTTCCTTGAAGTTCCACTCAGTCCCTTCTCCATAGTTGAAACCAAACAAGATCTCCAACTGCCTAAAAGTCACCATTCTCTTGACTCCATTAGCCAAGAATGTGATCCACCCCAGTCCTTGGTCCAAATCGGCTCTATCCTCCTCATCGTACATGTAGTATCTCATTGAAGCCAAGAACTCGCAAGTGAGCTCTTTGTAGGATTCCATGCGATGAGAGAAGAACTTTCCCAAGTGCATGTTCTTGAGTACTAGCTCCACTTTCTTCTTGTCCAATGTTTACCCCAATCTCAAACTCTCCTTGCTAACTCTCACTACTAATGGGGTCATTCCTCTTCTTGGTCCTCCTCTCTTCCCTCAATCTCTCGCTCTCAGACTCCATTTAAGAGTAGACATACTCCTCTGCCTCAGACTCCTCGATCCTTTGACTCATCCTTTCCAAATCGGCTTGCAATTTTAGCCTCCTTTCCATTGCATTGCTTGATTCACCTTCAATCATTCTCCTCTATGAAGCACGACTTCCCTCACTGTTTGTCATCCTTATTATGCTGTTTTTCCACTTAAGGTTTGATGTACTTGCATTTTGCATAGTTTTAGTACATCTTTTATGCATCTTTTGCATAGTTTTAGCATCCATTAGCATCATATCTTGTTCCTTTTCTCTTCTTATGCATTCATAGTAGTTTTAGGTTGCATTTGCATACATATGCATGTTTGGTCCTTGAAATAGGTCTTTTGGAGCATTTGGAGCATATGGGACGTGAGGAGCAAGGAAGGACTTGGTGCATGGACGCAGCTCAACTGGATACGCAAAGGAAGAAGGAGGAAGCCATCTTGAAGACCAGCTCGACCACCACTCGACCATCCGGTCGAGTTCCTCAACTCGACCGGCCAAGCTTCAACTCGATCGAGCTGAGAAGTCAACAGTCAAACCCGAAAAATGTTGCTTCCCCCTTGACTTCCTTTGACCCTAAACCTAATCCTCTTGTATTTAAAGGCTAAAAGCCACGAAAAAACCACCAAGCTTTAGATTACTTTTGTTTTAGCTTTCTTTAATTTATTGTCTTTTACTTTTTAGAACTCTAATCCATCTTTGTGTTCTTGAAGCTCTTGCTTCTTGAATCCTAGATCTGGATTCTCTTTGTATTTGCACTTGCTTATTTCAATAAAAGTTGTTTATCTTTATCTCCTCTTTCATTTGATGTCTTATTTCATTGCATTTGCTTGTGTTTACATTCATGTGTAGTGAGTAGTTTCCTTAGGGTCAAAGATGGGATAGATTAGGGGATCTTTATGCTTAATCCTTCTTGCTTATGTTCTTAATCTAGAAATCTCTCTCTTTTGGACAAACCTTAAGGCTACATGACCACTACCCCTGGCTTGTATGTCATTAGGCGATTCTCCACATGGAAGTGATGGAAATCGTTGGAAAAGGTCCACTAAGAGCTCCAATAACTCTTGCTCTCGAAATGGAGTTCATAGGGGTTGGATGGATTAGTTTGAGCAATGATCCTATGGCCTCCAAGGCTTGATTCTCACTGGCTAACCCCCTGTTTCTGAGATCAAGTCTTGGTTGATAGCTTTCACCTTGGGAAAGGGTTAGCTAGGCATTGAGAAGCTCAATATCAAGAGATACCTTGATACAAGTTGTTTGAGAGCAAGATTGATTAAGTATAGCCTTCCTCTGATTGTAAACCCTGTCTTAGACCCTAATTTCGCATTAGCTTGTTAAAGTTCTGCCTTTATCGCTTTTTACTTCAACTCGACCCTAAACTCGATCGAGCTCGGTTACTCTGTTCCCACTCGACTCGAGTCCTTGGTCGAGCTGTTGCTCTACTGCTTTATTTACATTTATTGCACTGTGATTATTTGCTTTGTATTTGCACTTGCTTATTTCAATAAAAGTTGTTTAATTTCATCTCCTCTTTCTTATGATGTCTCTTTTATTGCATTTGCTTGTGTTTACATTCATGTGTAGTGAGTAGTTACCCATTGGGGTTTGAGATGGGATAGATTAGAGGTTTCATATGCTTAATCCTTCTAGCTTATGGTCTTAATCTAGATTCTCTCTCTTTTGGATAGATCTTAAGGCTACATGACCACTACCCCTGGCTTGTAAGTCCTTAGGCGACTCCCCACACGAAAGTGATGGCATTCGCTGGAAAAGATCCACTAAGAGCTCCAATATCTCTTGCTCTAGAAATAGAGGTCTAAGGGGTTGGATGGATTAGTTTGGGCAATGATCCTATAGCCTCCAAGGTTTGATTCTCACTGGCTAACCCCCTGTTTCTGAGATCATTCCTTGGTTGATAGCCTCACCTTGGGAAAGGGTTGGCTAGGCATTGAGAAGCCCAATATCAAGAGAAGCCTTGATACAAGGAGTTTTAAGAGCTAGATTGATTAAGTGTAGATTCCTTTGATTGCAAAACCCTGTCTTGAACCCTAATTCTCTCTTATCTTGTTAAAGTCGTCACCTTTAGCTTTGTTTGTCTCAACTCGTCCCTAAACTCGATCGAGCTGGTACTTTGTTCTGACTCGACTCGAGTCTTGGTCGAGCTGCTACTTCACTGCTTTGTTTACTTTTATTGCACTGCATTTCATTTTATTTAGGTTGTTAGTGTTACTTCAAATCTATTACTGCTTGCTTGACTTCCTGGTTGTTTCATATTCTCAAAGAGTGACAAGTTTCCCATTTTGGATTGATAACCTCTTATACTACATGACTATGATGGTTAAGAGGAATTGATTGATTGTGATTGCACCATTTCATCTTTATTCACCCCTGTTTGCATTCCACCTCATTCTTATCATTCATTCATATCATTCACATCCACACAAAATCCTATCATCAATTTGGCGCCGTTGCCGATTTGGGAATATTTTTGTTGCATTTGAGTTTCAAACACACTTGGACGATCAAGCTATACCACCCCTGTTCTATTGTACTGCTGGGTTTTTGTCTCTTTTTGCAGGTGTATGCGAACTCGATCGAGTCGGTCTACAGAGGACTTGGTCGAGCTAGACTTACAACGGGTAGAAAGAGGGTTCAGAGGTCACAGAGGGTACAAGAGGAACCTGAGGTGCTTGTTGCTGATACAATGGATGTACCAGAGGGGAATGGAAACCCTTTGGGAATGGACTCGGTCGAGCTAGGCAAACTCGACCGATTGGTCAAGGAGATGCTCCAAACCGCCACCAACAGAGACAAGGGATTGTTCCACCACCAGTGCAGAACCACAACTTTGAGATCAAGCTGGGAATGATCAACCTTGTCCAGAACAAGATGTTCCATGGATTGCCAAGTGAAGACCCCATTGACCACCTTGATGAGTTTGATAGGCTTTGTGATTTGACAAAGATCAATGGTGTCTCTGAAGATGCCATCAAGCTGAGACTCTTTCCTATGTCTCTAGCTGACAAAGCTCACCAATGGGAGAAGAGCTTGCCCCATGGCACAATCACCACTTGGGATGAATGCAAGAAGGCCTTTCTTGCTAAGTTTTTCTCCACCGGTCGCACAGCCAAGCTTAGAGGAGAGATATCCAGCTTCATCCAGCGAAACAATGAGACATTCGCAGAGGCTTGGGAGAGGTTCAAAGGCTACACAAGTCAGTGCCCACACCATGGATTCAACAATGAATCACTACTCTCCACTCTTTATAGAGGATGCTTGCCTAGGTATAGGGAGATGCTAGACACAGCTAGCAATGGGAACTTCCTCAACCAGGATGTAGATGATGGCTGGCAACTTGTGGAGAACATAGCTAACTCAAATGGAAGCTATGGAGAAGAGTATGATCGCACCAACCGGAGCTCGACCCACCACTCGATCGAGTCAGACGAAAAGTTGAGAAAAGATGTTAAGGCATTGAATGAGAAGTTGGATAAGCTGATCCTAGCTCAGTCCACAATGAAGAAAGTCAACTTTGTGTCTGCTGAGGAGATGGAACCAGTCCAAGAAGGGGAGGATACACAATTTGCTGAGGTGTGCTACATGAGCAATGGGCAAGGAGGTTACAACAAAGGATACTATAATTACAAGTCCAACCCTGCCATGTCATACCGCAACACTGATGTTGCTAACCCTCAGGACCAAGTATATCCTCAACAACAAGCAGCTCGATCGAGTCAGGTGCCACAACATGGGTATGGTCAAAAGAACAATTACCAAGGACCACAAGGCACTTTCCCTGGACAACAAATGAATATCCCACCAGGCTTCCCCCACCAACCGCCCCAGCCTGCACCTTCACAAGAGAATGAGCTCAAGGCAATGCTAAAGCAACTACTTCAAGGGCAAGCTGATGGGGTAGTGGACACAAGCAAGAAGCTAGCTGAAATAAACTCTAAGATCGAGAACCTCAACACAAGGGTTTACTCTCTGGAGAATCATGCTTCTTCTGTTGCTGCTGCTACAAAGCAAGGACAACTACCTGGTAAAGCTATTCAGAACCCCAAGGAACAGTGCAAGGTCATCTTCACTCAAGAAGGACTTGTTGAAGAAGAGGATCAAGAAAGGGTCATTGAAGATTTTTGTTTACTGCTGAATGATGAAGAGATTGTTGCTGCTGAGGCTCCTGGAGTCCAGATTGATCAACCAGAAGTGCAGGCACCTACTGTGGCCATTCACACTTCACCAGTTGAGCTCGCACACAAGCTCGATCGGCAGCTCGATCGAGTCCAACTCTAGCTCGATCGAGTCCGACCTCTTCTGTCCCAAAACCTTTTTGCTTGATCCTTACCAACCGGTTGCCGCTTCCTCGTCTCGCCTACTTAGTCAAGGTCACAAGGAAGTGATTCACAAGTTCAGAAGAGATCTCAGTGGGATTGGAATTGAGTTGCCTCCTATGGATAGCATGAGTGAGGCATTTGATCAAATGCAAATGGTCAAGGATGTTCTAGCCAACAGTGATAAAGTTTCAGAGGTCCTACAAGAGTCTACTCATCAGTTCAACCTGCTTACTTCACCCACCTTCCTACCAAAGGTCAAGGATCAAGGGAAATTCACTCTCCCTTGCACACTTGGGCATCTTGAGATTGACAATGCCTTAGTGGATTCTGGAGCAAGCATCAATCTGATCTCTCTCTCCATGGCAGAGAAGCTAGGCATTGCTGGAGCCTTGCAGCGCCCTACTACTTCAATCATGTTTGGAGATGCAACTTCTAAGTCTCCTCTTGGAGTGTTCAAGAACTATCACTTGAAAATTGGAGAATGCATCATCCAAACTGATCTCACTGTGATGGAAATGGAAGAAGAGAAGGATTTGCCTTGTTATTGGGAACCCCTTTCCTTAGTACAGTTGGCGCTTCAATAGACTTTCACAAGCAAGAAGTGATCCTTCACAAGGTGAATAGTTTGGTGTCATATCGCTTGCAGCCTAGAGGTTCAGACTTTTGTGCCACAATTGACAGTACCAACTCTCAGTTCTAAGAGTCATGGAGCTACAAAGGTTGTGAAGGAAAGGGTTGACAAAGAACCAAGAGTTGGGAAGGATAAGGTTGAGAGAGGACCAAGGATTGAGAAGCCACGTCTTGAGAGGGCTAGAGTTGAGAAACCACGTTCTGATAGACCACGAGCTGATAGACTTGTTCAAGCCCCTTGTGTGCTTGATGAAGAAGCCTTCAAGCTTTGTTTGATGAGCCACTAGGAAGGGCTCTAAAAGAAGGGGAGGATGTAGCCTCTAAGGCAAGACCAGGGATAAAAGAAAAGGATCCACCAGCTCAGGCCCCTTCATCAAGCCATCTCAGCTCACAATGACTTTGTTCCCCACCAAGTTTGAAAATGGGAAGATTGAGTACAAGATAAGGTACAAGGGGAGATCAAGGCCATTCTCTAGAGCCAAGGCCTTGGTGACTTCAGAACAATCCAGGGACCCAACCAAGCTAAAGGAGCTTCTGTCTCAAGTCCTCACTATCACCCTTGATGGTGGGACTAGCTCAACCAATGCCTAAGAAGGTAAAGGTCAAGCTATGGGACCTTAAACAAGCTCACTTGGGAGGAAGTCCCATGTTTATCCTTGTACATACTCTATTTATGCAATTTCTATCTATCTTTATGTTTTTAACCTTTGAATAAGTTAAGTTTAGGTGTCAAAGAGCCAGCTCGACCGACTCGATCGAGCTAGAAACCAGGGCAACTCGATCGAGCTTCGACCGAGGTAAGTTTTTGAATTTCAAATTTCTAACCGTTTTCTTGGTCAAGGGAGTGGGTCCCACAAGTGATTTTGGTCCCCCACTACCCTGAATTTGATCAGAGAAACCCTAGCTTCTTGTCCCCTCTTTATTTCACTTTTAATCTCAACCACACATCTCAAACAACCCTCTTCCCCATAACTCGATCGAATCCATCTCTCTCTCCCCACTCATATTTTTCTGAAATCATCTCTCTCTCTCATCTCCAAGAAAATCGATTTCTTTCTCTTTTAAGTTTTTGCGATTTCTTTGTTCATTATCTCGTTTGCTTTGTTCTAGCTACTGTGATTTTCAATCATCATTCAAGCAAGGTATGAACCCTAACCCTCTGAATCCTTCTCGATTTCTCTCTATTGCTTGTTTTCTCTTGATTTTTGATTGCATGTGTCCCTTGTGGACTTGTTCTTGTAATTGCCTTCATATTTCGCCTCTGCTATATAGTCTTGTTAATTTGTTTCACCTCACCTCTGTTTTGCCTTTGAATTGTTGCATGTGCTAAAATTTGAATTTGAGTTTGGTATTGGTTAAGGTGCTTGTTTTCATAGAATTGCTCATTGTTCCATTTACTAGTTGTTCTTGGTTCAATTTGATTGATTAGCATCCTTTCCAGCTCTTAATTTGAATTAGGTTTGGTTATACTCTGTTTTCACCTAGCTCGATCGAGTTTGTCACTCGAGTTTTTTGACTCGATCGAGCTGAGTGTCGAGTTGACCAAACCGATCATTACAACTCTAATTCTTTGTAATCTTTGATGCATTTCAGGTACTTTACTGAAAAACAGTGTGACAAGATGACAAACAGTGAGGGAAGCCATGCTTCGCAGAGGGAAATGGTTGAGGGAGAGACAAGCAATGCAAACCAAGAGAAGGCAAGGGAGATAGCCGATGAATAGATGATCGAGAGGATGGAGGACTCTGATGCGCCTGGTTATGTCTATGAAGAGGAGCAGTCAGAGAGTGAGAGGCTGATGGAAGAAAGGAGGACCAAGAAGAGGAATGATCCTAGAAGTAGTGCGAGTGAAGAAGGAGAGTTTGAAATTGGGGTAAATAACCAAGGGGAAGAAAGTGATGGTTCTCCAAGTGGAGATGGTGAGGAAAACCAAGATGAGCAGATGGAGGATGCTGAGGCAGAGCAAGAGGAGGATGAGCTCCCTATGTACCAAGAGCACTACAATGCTCTCTTCTCCATGGATTTTGTGAGACCAAGTACCCACATGATGCTACAATGAGGGCCCTTGGGATCTTTGAGGATGTGGAGTTGGTGCTCAAGAACATGCAGCTGGCCAAGTTCTTCTCTCACCGTTTGGAGTCTTACAAGGAGCTCACTTGTGAGTTTTTGGCTTCGCTGAGATACCATGAGTACGACGAGCTCCAAAGAGTTTGGGCCACAATAGCTGAAGGGAATTACTCTTCTCCAAGGTCCAAGGCTGCTCTGATCAGGAGCCCAGTGCTGAGGTACGTGCACAAGGCACTAGCCAACACCTTCTTCGCAAGGAAAGCCACAGGAACGATCAATGAAGGAGAGGTTAAGCTCCTTACCATGGGGATTAAACCCATCATCTCACGCACAAGTGATGGGACGAGGATCAGAGGTGATAGAGCACACTCAGGGAATCTCATACCTTTGCTAGATCAGCTCCTGTCCTACAGCACAACAGCCTACAACACTCGCCATCAAAAGGGAAGAAGGCTAAGTGTTGGAGGGATCATCACACCCATCCTCTGTGCAGCTGGGGTACAGTTAAACAAGAAGAAGGCAACTCCAGCTGGATGGATGGACATCAAGTTCTGCAAGACCAACCTCCTCATTGAGCACAAGGAATTGGATGGAAAATACCAATTTAAGTTCACCCATCCTTTGGCTGGCCCCTCCAAGCTTCTTCTGCCCAACCCCGAGCTCACCACGGTTCTAGGAGGTACAAACATTGACTTCAGGCACCCTGTGTACACTTTGATTGGGCATGAAGCGGATTTGCAAGAAGAAGAGCCCGAGCTCGATCGAGCTGAGGATCGAGCTGAGATTCAAGCTGAAGATCGAGTCCAGGAGAGTGCAGATTTGGGTGAGCCTGAGTGCTATTATTTTGAGGAGTATGAGGCTCCAAGGATGAACCCCTATGTTTTGGCTGCTAACAAGAGGATTGGACTTCTCCAAAAGTTCAACAAATGGCAAGGGAAAGCCATTGAGAAGATGGAAAAGTCCATGGACAAGATGGTGAGCAAGATCAAAAGCTTGGAGAGGAAAGTTTCTGGTTCTTCAAGCAAGAAGAAGAAGGGACCCATGGCCCCCACTTTCCCTAGGAGTAGGTCACTCCTCACCACTCAAAGGAGGCTCTCCACGCAAGAGCCTCACAGAGCCTCTTCTTTCGAGCCAAGGGAAGGAGAAGACAACACGCAGAGAAGGAGGAAGACTTCCAAGGCCAGCTCCAGCTCGACCACCGGACTCGATCGAGTCCTAACTCAACTCGATCGAGCTGAGGGTCGAGTTGACCTGGAGGAGCCCCTGTTTGAGAACCCTGGATTCGAGTACGATCAAACGCAAAACCAGGACTTCTCCCAGACCAACTGGACCCCCTACAACAGCTTCCAGCAAGCACAGCTCCTCCAAGGCCAAGGAGCCACACCCACTTTGAAGATGAAGAAGAAGAAGAGGAGGAGCCGCAAGCTCGACCGAGTGAGGCAATCCCAGTTGCATGGAGCGCTCCTGATGGCCGTCTACCATCTCCAGACCACGACTTTCCCAGTTCTTTGGGGGGCACTGAGGTATCCAAACACCAACCCTTGTATATACCATTTCATATTTTCTTGCATTTGTTCTTGTTTTTTTTCTTGGTTTTGCCCTCTTGAATCTTTCACTAAATTTTTCTCACACAAGGGACTGTGTGATTTAAGTTTGGGGGAGGGTTCAAGAGATGATTTAACCTTGTTTTCTTTGTTCTTAGTTTTTCATTTATCTTTTGCATAGAAAAACAAAAAAAAATCATAAAATTTTCAAAAAAATCCAAAAATCATAACCTTGCTTCCCCCTTGACTTCCCTTTGACCCTAAACCTAATCCTCTTTGTATTTAAGGCTCTTAGCCACGAAAAAACCACCAAGCTTTAGATTACTTTTGTTTTAGCTTCTTTTAATTTATTGTACTTTTACTTTTTAGAGATCTAATCCTCTCTTTGTGTTCTTGAAGCTCTTGCTTCTTGAATCTTAGATCCTGGATAATCTCTCTTGTATTTGCACTTGCTTATTTCAATAAAAGTTGTTTAATTTCATCTCCTCTTTCTTATGATGTCTCTTTTATTGCATTTGCTTGTGTTTACATTCATGTGTAGTGAGTAGTTACCCATTGGGGTTTGAGATGGGATAGATTAGAGGTTTCATATGCTTAATCCTTCTAGCTTATGGTCTTAATCTAGATTCTCTCTCTTTTGGATAGATCTTAAGGCTACATGACCACTACCCCTGGCTTGTAAGTCCTTAGGCGACTCCCCACACGAAAGTGATGGCATTCGCTGGAAAAGATCCACTAAGAGCTCCAATATCTCTTGCTCTAGACAATAGAGGTCTAAGGGGTTGGATGGATTAGTTTGGGCAATGATCCTATAGCCTCCAAGGTTTGATTCTCACTGGCTAACCCCCTGTTTCTGAGATCATTCCTTGGTTGATAGCCTCCACCTTGGGAAAGGGTTGGCTAGGCATTGAGAAGCCCAATATCAAGAGAAGCCTTGATACAAGGAGTTTTAAGAGCTAGATTGATTAAGTGTAGATTCCTTTGATTGCAAAACCCTGTCTTGAACCCTAATTCTCTCTTTATCTTGTTAAAGTCGTCACCTTTAGCTTTGTTTGTCTCAACTCGTCCCTAAACTCGATCGAGCTGGTACTTTGTCTGACTCGACTCGAGTCTTGGTCGAGCTGCACTTCACTGCTTTGTTTACTTTTATTGCACTGCATTTTCATTTTTTTAGGTTGTTAGTGTTACTTCAAATCTATTACTGCTTGCTTGACTTTCCTGGTTGTTTCATATTCTCAAAGAGTGACAAGTTTCCCATTTTGGATTGATAACCTCTTATACTTGACTATGATGGTTAAGAGGAATTGATTGATTGTGATTGCACCATTTCATCTTTATTCACCCCTGTTTGCATTCCACCTCATATCTTATCATCCTTCATTCATATCATATCACATCCACTAAAATCCTATCATCAGGTACCCAATGGCAAAGACAAAAGGAGGTGAAGCCATGAAGAAGAAGAAAGATCCATATATGCTACCACCAAGGAAACAAATCAAACTAGGGAGTAGTAGCTCCAATGCAAGAGCAGCAATACCAACATCACCACATTCCATTGATGCAAGTCAAGAACATGTGGAGAGTCCAAGAAGAGAAGAAGATTGGGCACTTGTAAGCTTTGTTGGAGGACAAATCCAAGACCAAAGAGATTGCAAGAAGGCAATGGAGAAGGTGAACATAGAACCTTGTGTGAAGATGGACACCCCAACCCTTGAACTTCTCAAGATAAGAGATGATGTCACATGGTATCTAAGGAAGCTTGGCTTGAGCAAGCTATTCAAGATAGAGTGCAGCGAGCACTCAATGCTAACCAAGGAGTTCCTCTCCACAGTAGCTCTTGCCTTTCCCAACAACAATGGAGACCAACCAGCTGGTGATGAACTCCTATTCTTCAAGATAGGCGATGCCAATGGGCGCAAGCCAATCCCTTTGGATCTCCATGCTCTTCAGCAAATCCACTTCCTAAACCGTTAGACTAAAGACCCAACCAAGTTTTGCTATGAGTTTCCAATTGGACCAACCAACACTTTGCTTGTCTTGCTGCCACATGAAGATATCCCAAGCCTACGCTCAGGTGTTGTCACTTTCCAGCCCAAGGAGGAAGACTTCTATGTTCCATCAAGTGAGAAACCATCATTCCCCATCCTCACCTATCCCACACTTCAGCGCACAGTCAAAGCTCAACGCCGCCACCAAGAACGCCATGTTCTCACCACTGGCATGGCCGTGAACCAAGCTCTAGACCGTGTGAGCAAGCTGGAGAAGATCGTGGAGTGCCAATCTCGTTTCATCTCACGCCTAGTTGATGCAAGCTGGGTTTGTCTTCAAGTTTTACCCACCTTAAGTACCTGCAAGTGCACAGCAACAAGGTAAGTATAGTATGGGATCGAATCCACAAGGACCTATCGATTGTGCTACAAGAGTTAGAGTTGAATCGAGCTAAAACAAAATATGGTTTAGAGTGTTTTGGCAATAATGAATAAATGGAAATATATGAGATCAATAAGGGGAAACACTAGGCAATGGTGGATCGCCGAGATGCAACAAACTTAGGCAAAGAAGTCAAGTGAAAGAGATTCATTATAGGCCGTTCTTGAACTTAAATCACTAAGATATAGTCTTTCCACTTTCGTGGCTCCAACCACTATGTTTAAACAACCTAATATACTCAGCTTTCGTTGGCTATTAGAATTGCAAACATGCATTAAAGTGTTCAAGATTCAATTGTTCACAATACCATAACTCAACTTTCGTTGGCTATGACTATTGCTCACCAAATACTAGTTCCGAGATCTAGATTCAGCACTGTCGTGGTATATTAACCTAAGATCCGATTACTAGATGATCAGAAAAGCAAACGGCGTTATGCTCAAGTAAAGGTGAAGAACTCAAAGATAAATCCCAATTCACAAATTCTCAATATTCATGCACTCATTGATCCACCACGGCCTAGTAAGGGATTTACTCGGCCATGATGCAAACAAACAAACAAGATTGAATGAAAGCATTATGCAAGTATTAAAAGAGATAAAGGGATGAAGAAAGCTTCTCTATTGATGAACAAAGTCGGATTCTCCCTTGAACTCCAAAATCAAATAAAAATGACAAGAAAAAGATGAACGAGTTGCGGTTCGCTGTCGGCTTGGATCCGAGGGCTTCTCTTCTTTCTTCCTGGGGTGTTCCTCTTCTTCTCTGACGGCTCACTTTTCTCACACACTCTAGACTCTTTCTCAGCGGCTAAAAACATGTATATATGGGCGAAGTCGCGTAGGGTTTTCTTCATGCCGGAAAAGGAAAGTTTCCCATGCGCCGAGCCTTCTTCTCCACGTCGTGTATGGGCCGACATTGTACCAAGGAAAGCTCCAAACATTAGCCAGGCCTCTTCTCTATTCGATCAAGGCCTTTGGCGCTGCTGCTCGGGCCATTAGACACTCCAAATCCTCCATGGGCTTCGTTTACTCGCTTACCGGACATGTCTCGGTAGAAAATAAGTCTAGGCCTCATAGTTGATCCAAATGGCTTCATTCCACTTCGACGTGATGCATGACTCAAGTATCTATCTTTCCATATCAAGATCGTAACTTTTGGACGTCGGGAACTCCTCCGCGCGCGGCCAAACTTCCGAAGCTTCGTTCTGCGCGCTAGCGAGAACTAACACTTGGAGATAAAATGATCTTCTTGACTTGGAAACTTGCATGGATCTTGATTTAGGGCTCTTTTACTCCTTTTTGCATCCTTTTTGATTATTTCACCTACAAAGACTTCAAATCCCACAAATACAAGAAAACTACCTCTAAAGGCAAAGAATCTTGCAAAAACCGTTTGAAAACATAGGTAATTATATAGTAAAATCATGTAAAATATGGTGATATCAACTCCCCCAGACTTAGCCTTTTGCTTGTCCCCAAGCAAACTAAGCAGGAAAAGAGGTTTGAAAACGTGAGAACTCTCAAATCTTTTGGAAATCCAAATTGACTTATGCTTTAGTAATCCACATGAAACAGCATTGGCAAGTTTTGAATTAAGAACAAAGTACATACCATGAGTTTTGCGATTTTCCCAAAGCGGTCCACCTCTCCTTGGACAATCCAATTCGCCACCCTTGACTCCTTTCATTTCTAAAGGTGTGGTCTCAACTAGGGAGTATCGATCAGCCGGCTTTAGATTCTTTCTCATCCCCTTGTTTGGCACTTGTCTTTTTACTCCATGTTTCTCCTCTCTCTCTTCTCACTTCTTTGAGTTGATTCATCCCTTTTTTAGGGTAGCGAAGTATTTTTTTATTCAACTCCTTCTCTTTATTATAGAGGTTTTGCTTGGATCTTCCACAGACGCGAGTATTGATGGTGTTTGCCACCGAATCCCCGGTTGCTTGGATTCATAGGCCTTCCATAGACGCGAGTATTGATGGTGTTTGCCACCGAATCCCCGGTTACTTGGACCTTACGCTTTTTCTTTAAATTGAAGGGGAGAGAGAGGGAAGCACGAACTCACTAAGACTTTTTCATTTGATGGAGAGGATGAGGAATCATGCCATTTGTATGCCAAGCCCCTAGCTGAGAAGATTAAGTTCATTAAGGGCGGAGTCAAAGATGGATCCTTCTCAAGTCTTTAGAGATGTAGGCGTTTTTGGTAGATCGATCAACTCATAGTGCACCTGTGGTAAGATGTATTGCCAAGAACTGCTCAATGGTCACTTAAACATTAGTACAACCATGGTTAGATCCAAGATAAGGTCATGATTCTCGACAAAAATTTTGACTCAATAAAAACGACTCGATAAAAGGGAAAAATGCAAATGAAAATGCCAAAATGAACAAACATTGTTAGTAATCCCCCCAGACTTAACTTGCACCGTCCCGGTGAAATCAAATCGGATTAAGAGAGGCATAACATGAAGTTCAAATGAAAAATTGAAAAGAAAAAGGTTTAGGATGATGTTACCAAATGTCGACCAATTTATAATGAAGATCAGTTCCGGTTTGGGTCATTCTACACTTCTTTAGGCAATATTGGTCGGTGAGTTTTTAATTTCAGGCCTTGGTTTCCGCCGGTTTGTGTTTTGGCCGAGATTGGTATATTCGGTCGGCCAAAATGTGGTGCTGTGAACTACAGAACAAACCGTCAAAATTTCATGACCTATATTGAAATTTCATCGACCAACCTGGTATTTTATGAGCCTCTGGTGAAGTTTGGGAGCATTTGTACGAGCGGATTGAGACTTCCTTCACAAAATGGTCAAGTCGGCTCCGGGAAGGAGTTTCCTTGGCCATGTGAAGTTTGGCTCGTTCCTTTTCGTTTCTTCCTGCATAAAAGTGTTAGTTAAGCTCAAAGAAGAGTTTTCCAACCGGTTGGCGCGCCTATGCCGTGATTTGGTTTTGTCGGCCATATTGCTTGCGCGCCATCGGCCAGAATGAGCTCCGTCGTCTATCTCATGATCCGTGATGATTTCTCCGTCCTATCTTTTGGATTTGCCGACCAAAATGTGATTTTATGGTCGCCTGTGAAGTTTGGTGGACTTTGGTCACGCCGTTTAGGAGTTGGCCGTAGTTAGGCTTCCTTGTGCGCGGTATGGCCGAGAGAAATGTCTGGATTGAATTTCTTCGAATCCACTTGGGCCAATTGAGATTTTCTTCGACCGAATTGTTTTAATAACCCTCCTGTGTCATTCCCAAGTGGTGGCCGCCTTGTTTGTGGATGATAAGGGCTTGCTACCTTGTGCCGCACTCCATATTTCTTTAGAAGGTTTGCAAAGATCCGATTGATGAAGTGTGAGCCTCCATCACTTATCACAACTCTTGGAACTCCAAATCTTGGGAATATGATAGATTTGAACATTTTTATCACCACGCTCGAGTCATTTGTTGGAGCTGCTATTGCCTCAACCCACTTGGAGACATAGTCCACTGCTACTAGGATGTATTGATCTCCAAAGGATGTGGGGAAGGGTCCCATGAAATCAATTCCCCAAACATCGAACACCTCAACTTCCAAGATAAAGTTTTGCGGCATTTCATTCCTTTTGCTTATGTTCCCCATTCTTTGGCAGGCATCACAACGTGAGATGAATGCTTGAGCGTCTTTAAACATTGTAGGCCACCAAAAACCCGCTTGCAAGACCTTAGAGACTGTCTTGAACGTAGCAAAATGACCTGCGTAAGCTGATCCGTGACATCCATGGAGAATCCCGGCTATCTCTTCCTCCGGCACGCATTTTCTAAACAATCCGTCTTGGCACTTCTTGTAGAGGTATGGCTCGTCCCAGAAGTAAAATCTGATGTCTTTCAAGAATTTCTTCTTCTTGTATCCATAGAAGTTTGGAGGCTCTATATCGGCCGCGAGATAGTTGGCTATATGACGATACCACGGCGCGCCAAAGGCATTTCTCCTCTCCGTGGTCGCTTTTGGTGGGGTCTCTTTCCTCGAATAGGTACTGCGCTTACCGCATAGACCGTTTCCTCTGGTAATGAGTCATCTATAGGTATGCTCTCTTCGATTCTCATTCTTGAAAGATGGTCGGCCACGCCATTCTCCGCGCCTTTCCTATCGATGATCTTTAGGTCAAATTCTTGCAAAAGAAGTATCCAGCGTATAAGTCTTGGCTTTGCATCTTTCTTTGACAGCAGATACTTGAGAGCCGCGTGATCGGTATGCACTATAACCTTGGAGCCAACGAGATATGAGCGAAACTTCTCGAATGCAAAGACAATCGCCAATAACTCCTTCTCCGTGGTGGCATAGTTGCATTGTGCTTCGTCGAGGGTCCGGCTTGCATAGTATATGACGTGGAGTTTCTTCTCTTTCCTTTGGCCTAGCACAGCTCCAACGGCGTAGTCGCTTGCGTCACATAATCTCAAAAGGAAGCTCCCAATCCGGTGATTGTACGATTGGTGCGCTAATGAGGGCCTCTTTGATTTTTTTGAACGCCGCGAGGCATTCTCCACTGAATTCAAACGCCACTTCTTTGCAAAGTAACTGAGTGAGAGGGCGCGCTATCTTGGAGAAATCTTTTATGAACCTCCTATAAAATCCCGCGTGCCCTAGGAAGCTTCTTACTCCCTTGACGTTCTTGGGCGGTTCCAAGTTTACCATTACCTCGATCTTGGCTTTGTCAACCTCAATGCCTCTCTCCGAGATTCTATGACCGAGCACGATCCCATCTCTCACCATGAAATGGCACTTCTCCCAATTTAGCACTAGATGCTTCTCCTTCACATCTCTTGAGGACCTTGCTAAGATTTGACAAACAAACATCAAAGGATGTGCCATAAACTGAAAAATCATCCATGAATACCTCCATTATGTCTTCTATGTAGTCTGTGAAGATTGACATCATGCATCTTTGAAACGTAGCCGGTGCATTACACAAGCCAAAAGGCATTCGCCTATACGCGAACGTTCCATATGGACATGTGAAATGTTGTCTTCTCTTGGTCGTCGGGATGGATTGGGATCTTGGAAAAAACCTGAGTAACCATCTAAGAAACAATAGTAAGGATGGTTAGCAAGTCTTTCAAGCATTTGATCTATAAAAGGTAAGGGAAAATGGTCCTTTCTGGTCGCGGCATTGAGTTTACGATAGTCGATACACATCCGGTGTCCAGTGATCGTTCTGGTGGGTATGAGCTCTTCATTCTCGTTCCTTATGACCGTCACTCCTCCTTTCTTTGGAACTACGTGGACCGGGCTCACCCATGTACTGTCCGAGATAGGGTATATCACTCCAGCTTCCAAGAGTTTCATTATCTCCTTCTTCACCACATCTTTCAGGTTTGGATTTAGTCTCTTTGATGCTCTATGGAGGACTTAGACTCATCCTCAAGGTGTATCCTGTGCATACAAAGTTCTGGGGAAATACCGGTTATATCCTCAAGGGTGTACCCAAGGGCTTTGCGGTGCTTTCTTAGTTCACAAAGTAGTAGCGCGGTCTCTACATTTGATAGATTTGAATTGATTATCACCGGGTATGTATTGTTGGGACCGAGAAATGCGTACCTTAGCCCTACGGGGAGCTCCTTGAGCTCGACTTTTGGGCGCTCAACTCACTCCATGGCTCCTTTAACGGCTTGGATGCACCCCTTGAGGCGTTCGCGGCTATTACTTCTTCCTCCAAGCCAACATAAGCTACCAAGTTCTTGTACGTCTCCGCGTTATCGAGTGATTTGGCTATGTCTCGCGCTTCTCTACTAAAATAGCCTCCTTCTTTCTCCACACGGGTTAGTGCCACTTCTAAGGGGTCGTCCATTATCAGCTCCTCATACACTCCTTCAGACACCTCACTTAAATTGTCCACCAAGAAAGAGAATCCGTCGATGGTTGGCTTTTCCAAAGTTTTGTCAATTTGAAACTTCATCACCAAGTCTCCTAAGTGTAGGTCTATCTTTCCTCCTTTGACATCAATAATAGCTCCGGCGGTGGCTAAGAAAGGTCGCCCTAAGATCAGGGGATCTCTTGGTTCTTGGTCTAGCTCCAGCACCACAAAGTCAGCCGGTATGAAACATTTACCAATCATGACTTGTACATCACTCACGATGCCAATGGGCCGCCTCACCGATCGATCAGCAAAGACCAACTGAATCTTTGTGGGTCTAAAGCTTGTTATGCCAAGGCGCTTGGCCACTGTATAGGGCATAAGATTCACGCTAGACCCTAAGTCACAAAGGCAGCGTTTAAAGATTGTACCTCCGATTTGGCATGAGAGAACAAAGCTCCCCGGGTCGTCAAGCTTCTCCGGGGTTTTGTTTTGGAGGGCTAGGCTACAATCTTCTGTTATCAACATCACTCCCTCTTCTAGACTCAAGTTGCTAGTGAGTATGCTCTTCATATACTTCCTCAATGATGGAATAATCATGCAAGCATCGACAAAAGGGAGCCTTACGCTTAGTTGGCTCACAAGGTCCTTCAACTTTGCTTGCTCTTTCTCTTTCTTGGCTTCTTCACTGATCCGGGGTAGGGCACTTTTGGCTATACAGCGCAGAGTAGGTGTTGTTGGCGCGGCGCTCTCCTCAAGAGTTGTCTTTGTTTGCTCGCCAACCGCTTCTTCCACGCTTTCCGATATCACCTCCGGTTGGGGTTCTTTCTCGTGAGCTCCGGTGGCATCTCCACTTCGTCTAACTGCGTACCGCTCCTAAGAGTGATGGCTGCTATATGTTCCTTCTTGGGGTTAGCCTCAGTTCGACCAGGGAGGACTCCAAGCGGTTTCTTGATTGTACCGGCTATGTTTGCTATTTGAAGATCAAGCTCCTTGATGTGCGACTCTAGCGACCCAAATTTATTGTTTAAGTCGTGATACACATAGTGTATCTTCTCATTGATCTCCTTGTTCGCCTTTTTCTCACCAATGAACTCATAGATCAAAGCCTTAAGCTCTCCTCCATGGTCCTTAGCGCCAAGTCGGGTTTCAGCCGGGTGTTGTATCTCTTGCTTGCTTATGTAAAGCACTTCTCTCTCATCGATGTTGCTCTCACGGGGGCTCTTGCGATGCTCCGGTTCTCTTTCCAAAAGCTTAGCGATCATGGACTTCAGCTCCTCAAACTCAACTAGTCCCGGTCTCGTGTTGATTGCCTTGATCGTTTCTTCATAGCTCGGTTGATTCTTGCTGTCACTGACCGCTAGGTTGTCAATCAATGTTTTGGCTTCCTCTATGGACTTACTCATGAAGTTCCCGTTGCTAGCTATATCAAGATACAGCTTGTGCTCGCGCCTTATTCCCTCATAAAACGTGTTCCACAAGTTTACTTCCGAGAAGCCATGTTGTGGGCAATCTCTTATGTATTCCTTGAAACGCTCCAATCCCTCATGATACGGCTCTATTGGCCCTTGCTGAAAGCCAACGATCTTGCTCCTCATCAAGCTAGTCCGCTGCTTTGTATAAAACTGACCAAGAAAAGCTTTCTTGAACTCCATCCATGTAGTGATTGAGCGAGACGGGAGAGACTTGAGCCACTTGAGTGCTTTTCCCGCCAAGGTAAAAGTAAAGAGCCGGCATCTCAAGTAGTCGCCCGGAACTCCATTTGCACTAGTTGTGCTGCACAATTCTTCAAAAGAATCGACATGATCCAACGGATCTTCTTCGATAAGCCCGTGGTATTGACTTTGTTTTACCAAAGCAATGACTCGCGGCTTGATCTCAAACTGGTGGCCCTCGTAAGTCCGGATAGGGCTACGGCTTTGGAGAAGCTCTGGTCTAGAGTCACTGTCTCCAACGGTCTCTTGGTTCTCCCCTCCTTGGTGATCGCCTAAGTCTCCTCGGTGTAGCCTATCGGCTCGGTTAAGCTCCGGTCCAAGGCCTTCTCGTGGTATGCGGTCTTGGACCTCGTCCAAAGGCGGCTCATCAAGATGGTTCCTCCAAGGATTTGGTTGCTGGTCACGTATTTCTCCAGCCATGGCACGCTCAAGTTGTGCCTACAAAAAGAACAAAATAACAAAAAGTGTAAAATGCGCTTTAGTCTAGATTCTCGTCCGATCTTGTAGACAAGAAGGTCCCCGGCAACGGCGCCAAAAACTTGATGCAAGCTGGGTTTGTCTTCAAGTTTTACCCAACTTAAGTACCTGCAAGTGCACAGCAACGAGGTAAGTATAGTATGGGATCGAATCCACAAGGACCTATCGATTGTGCTACAAGAGTAAGAGTTGAAGAGCTAAAGCAAAATATGGTTTAGAGTGTTTTGGCAATAATGAATAAATGGAAATGGATGAGATCAATAAGGGGAAACACTAGACAATGGTGGATCGCCGAGATGCAACAAACTTAAACAAAGAAGTCAAGTGAAAGAGATTCATTATAGGCCGTTCTTGAACTTAAATCACTAAGATATAGTTTTCCACTTTCGTGGCTCCAACTACTATGTTTAAACAACCTAATAGACTCAGCTTTCGTTGGTTATTAGAGGTAAACATGCATTAAAATGTTCAAGATTTAATTGTTCACAATACTCCACAACTCAACTTTCGTTGGCCGTGAACTATCGCTCACCAAATACTAGTTCCGGCAATATAGCAAGCTTTTGGAGAGTATATTAACCCTAATCCGATGCTAGATGATCAGAAAAGCAAACGGCATTATGCTCAAGTAAAGGTGAAGAACTCAAAGATTATCCCAATTCACAAGATCTCATTTATAGATTCATGCACTCATTGATCCACCACGGCCTAGTAAGGGATTTACTCGGCCATGGTGCAAACAAACAAACAAGATTTGAATGAAAGCATCATGCGAATATTAAAGAGAAAAAGGGATAAAGAAAGCTTCTCTATTGATGAAAAGATCGAATCCTTCCTTTTAACTCCAAAATCCGGAAAACAAAAGTGACAAGAACAAAGATGTAACGAGTTTTGCGTGTTCGCGTGTGCGGCTTGGATCCGAGGAGGCTTCTCTTCTTCTTCTGGGGTGTTCCTCTTCTTCTCTGACGGCGCACTTTTCTCACACACTCTAGACTCTTTGCTCAGCGGCTAAAAACATGTATATATGGGCGAAGTCGAGTAGGGTTTTCTTCATGCTGAAAAGGAAAGTTTCTCATGCGCCGAGCCTTCTTCTCCACGTCGTGTATGGGCCGACATTGTACCAAGGAAAGCTCCAAACATTAGCCAGGCCTCTTCTCTATTCGATCAAGGCCTTTGGCGCTGCTGCTCGGGCCATTAGACACTCCAAATCCTCCATGGGCTTCGTTTACTCGCTTACCGGACATGTCTCGGTAGAAAATAAGTCTAGGCCTCATAGTTGATCCAAATGGCTTCATTCCACTTCGACGTGATGCATGACTCAAGTATCTATCTTTCCATATCAAGATCGTAACTTTTGGACGTCGGGAACTCCTCCGCGCGCGGCCAAACTTCCGAAGCTTCGTTCTGCGCGCTAGCGAGAACTAACACTTGGAGATAAAATGATCTTCTTGACTTGGAAACTTGCATGGATCTTGATTTAGGGCTCTTTTACTCCTTTTTGCATCCTTTTTGATTATTTCACCTACAAAGACTTCAAATCCCACAAATACAAGAAAACTACCTCTAAAGGCAAAGAATCTTGCAAAAACCGTTTGAAAACATAGGTAAATATATAGTAAAATCATGTAAAATATGGTGATATCACTAGTTCGTGTAGTTCGCCACATTGCACCAGAGAGACTCGTTCGCCCTTCTTCCACCGCTAGAGAACCATATGAGCCTGACCTTGGTGAGTTCTCACTAGACTCAGAGCTTGGTTCAGAAGGCGATGACCCCATAGAAGAGGAAGAGAGTTCTTCTCAATGCCACACATAGTCATCTCAAGTGGTACTTAGTGCAATGGACACTTACAAATCTCCATTTTCTATCCCTATCTCATTTTAATGAATTTCTTTTTATTTTTCTTTTATTTTGAATATTACCTCTCACCTTAATGTGATTTGCTTTCACCGGGACGGTGCAAGTTAAGTCTGGGGGGAGTTTTATTGTGTTACTAATGCATTTTTCTTTCTTTTCTTATGTTTTATTACTTTGTTTCATGTTTTTCAAAAAGTTTTATTGAGTCAAAAACCAGTCCGGAAGTTATGAACTTGCTTTGAGAATTGATAGTGTTGTGCTAACAATCCATGACCCTAGAGCAGAAATCAGCTAAAGGCACAAGCCTAACAGAAGCTCTTACAGTGGATCGACATGCTAGCTCAGCAAAATTTCTAAGGTAACCAAGCAATCTAGAGTTAACCTCACCCTTAATCAATCTTAATACTCTTGTCAAGGGGATTGGCATACATGTCGACAGTTCCTTGCTTGATTTTCAATGAGATTTGTCTAACTTTAAAGAGTTCTCCTCTCTCTCCCATCCCAAATGGTAAGTAATGTATGAGAAAAGCTCAAAGAGCACAAGGAAAACAAGTAAGCATGAGGAATGCATATGTCTGTACCTTCATGTCTTATGGAATACCTTATCAAACAAGGAACAAGCTAAAGACTTATCCTGTGGTTGAAAGAAGGGTCAATAGAAAAAATAAAATGATACCCTAGAAAAGTAGGGAGAAATTGACCTTTCAAAGTTCTGATGTGAGAAAGAGAGAGGAAAAGAACTCATTGCACTTCAAAGACAATCTTGGAGAAGATCAAGTGGGTAAGAACAAGTTCAATTGATCGATGTTCCCTTGATAAAGAACTCACGCTTTAAATTTATGCAAGAGGTTAGCAATAGAGAGTTTGGATTGCTGGATGAGACTAGTTGGGTTGGTATTGTTCGCTAAACTTGCAGGGTGTATGTGAAGCTAACCTTATGTTGCTATGTTCTTAGTGGAATACAGGAAAGGAACCTTTCACAGGATATTCAAAGAGCAAGGGAGTTTCCACGTTTTCAAACCTCTTTCACGGATTTAGATTCTGTTTGCTTGGGGACAAGCAAAGATCTAAGTCTGGGGGAGTTGATATACCTCTATTTTACATGCTTTTTATACTATTTTAGTATTGTTTTCTAATGGTTTTTGGCAGGTTTTCTATCTAAAAAGGTAGTTTTACTGTGTTTATAGTGTCTAGAGTCTAAACAGGTGAAATGATGCATTTTGGAGCAAAACCATAGATTTGGACTTCAAGCCGCTTCATGCCAAGCATCAACTTTAAGAGGGCCCAGAAAAAGATCTACTCAATGGATTTCATCAAGACCAGTTCCCTGCGTGCTCTGATTGAGTTAACTTTCCAACGCAACTGGAACGGCCTCATTTGGATGAGTAGAAAAGGAGTTATAACCAAAAGAGTGAAGACTGTCCAGACGGCTCTATCGAGAATCAGCGCCCAACCGCGCAGAGGCTGGCCGGGAGAAACGAATGTTTCGCTCGGCCAAAATCGTATCCGTCCGTCTGAAGTCTCGGCCAAAGTTCAAACCATCCGGCCGACATCACGACCCGGGAAGCAATGTCCCGCGGTCGGCCAAGCCACGACCACTCACGCCAAGCCGCGCACGACCATGCCGCGCGAGCCGGGAAGTAACGCCTTGCGGCCGCGCGACCTATCTCACGTACCACGGCCGATGGCTCCGTCCGAGCCGGGAAGCCACGTCCCAAGCACTATATATATAGCTTTTTAGCCTCTTGTGAAAAGAGAGCCGCCCTTGTATCACGATTTCTTACTCTAAGTTTTATTGCAATCATGTTTTCTTCATCTCTATGTGTGTTTGCTTTGATCATGTCTGAGTAATCCACTAGTTAGGTTGCTAGGGTTACTAATCAATGAGTTGTTTGCATGATCTTTGATTTCGATGTTTAGCTAGGGATTATTATAGAGTCTTTGTCTCGTCTTGTGACTTAACTAATGCTGATTGCTTTACCGTGCATCTAGTAATCTGATCTTAGGTTGATTTGAGCCTCGACAGTGTTGTATCATTCGCCGGACATATTCTTTGGCAAGCTAGGTTTCTTAGACTGCGAAAGTTGATCTACTATAATCTAGTGAACTGTATCAGAACCTATTCATTCTAAAGCTTGATTTAATCACCTAGGGACATACCAAAAGTTTAGCGACTAGGTAGATTAACAAAGGAGCCGGAGCCTCGAAAGTGGAATGGTTTTATATTTGTGATCTGTGTTCTAGACGGTTCTTAATATCCCAACATCCCTAATCAATTCATCTATCATTGTTTCATTGATCATTGCTTGCTTCTCTGCGATAGCCCCTGTTGACCTAGCGCTTCTTCCTTATTGATTTACAACCTCGTTTACTTGCTAGTTCGGTTCACCATTACAACCTCAATCATACTTTTGTTTTAGCTTGATCCAAAATCCATAGTTTCAAAGTGTACTCAATAGCCAGTCCTTGTGTTCGATACCCATACTTCCGCGATCTGTGCACTTGCAGAGGTCTAAGAGTTTGGTAAAACCTGACTCAACATCAAGTGACAATCTCACCCATATGGATTGATACGCCTTATACTATAATGCCTATGGTGGTTAAGGGGAATTGTTGATTGTGATTGTGTTTTGCATCTTACCACCTCATCTTATACACCACTGTTGCATTCCACCACATTTCATATCATATCTTTCACACCCACACACAAATCCTATCATCAAGGTTCCTGAAATTCATCAAAGATCACAAAGAATCAGAGTTGTAATGATCGGTTCGGTCAACTCGACACCCAGCTCGATCGAGTCAAAAAACTCGAGTGACGAACTCGATCGAGCTAAGTGAAAACAGAGTAAAACCGAACCTATATCAAGTATTAAGAGCTAGATAGGATGCTAATCAATTAAATTGAACTAAGAACATCAAGAACTTGGAATAATAAGCAATTCAAGTGAAGACTATAGCATCCTAGCCAATACCAAACTCAAATTCAACGGATTTAAGCACATGCAACAATTTTAATGGCAAAAAAGAGGTGAGGCGAGGCAAATTCACAAGATTATATAACAGGAGGAAGATATGAAGGCAATTACTCAAGAACAAGTCCTCAAGGGACACATGCAATCAAAATCAAAGGGAAGACAAGCAATAGAAAGGAATCGAGATTAAGGATTCAGGGGGTTTTAGGGTTCATACCTTGCTTGAATGATGATTGAACTAGAACAGTAGCTAGAACTAAAGCAAATAAAGACAATGAACAAGGGAGAAATCGAAAAACTTAAGAGAGGATGAGAGATTTTCGGATTTTTCTTATGGTGATGAGAGAGATCGATGAGTTTCAGAAAATTTAGAGTGTGGGAGAGAGGGAGAAGGAGGCGCGATCGAGTTGTGGGGAAGAGGGAGTGAAAGGCGAATTAAAGAAGGGACAAATGGCAAGGGGTTTTCTGATCGATTTCAGGAAGTGGGGGACCAAAATCAACTTGTGGGACTGATATACCTCTATTTTACATGCTTTTTATACTGTTTTAGTTTGTTTTCTAATGGTTTTTGGCAGGTTTTCTATCTAAAAAGGTAGTTTTACTTGTTTATAGTGTCTAGAGTCTAAACAGGTGAAATGATGCATTTTGGAGCAAAACCATAGGATTTGCACTTCAAGCAGCTCCATACAAGCATCAACTTTAAGAGGGCCCAGAAAAAGATCTACTCAATGGATTTCATCAAGACCAGTTCCCCGTGCTCTGAGTGAGTTAACTTTCCAACGCAATTGGATTGGCCTCATTTGGATGAGTAGAAATGAAGATTATGATCAAAAGTGAAGACTGGTCCAGACGGCTTATCGAGCAATCAGCGCCCAACCGCGCACACCGGCCGAGGGAACGAACGTACCGCGATCGTCCCGCGCCGTATCCGCATCCCGAAGTCCACGGCCGAGCTCACGTCCCGACCCGGGAAAGCAACGTCCCGCGGTCGAGCCGTTCCAGCTCGCCACCACAAGCCGCACGACCGCGCCGCGCGAACAGGAAGGCAACAGCTCGCGGCCGCGCACACCCACGTACCGCGCCGACCCATCCGTCCGACCAGGGAAGACTTCGCCCACGTCCGGAAATTTCATCGGCCAAATCTTCATCCGTCCGACCCCGTCGGCCGAACCGAAAACTCTCGGCCACGATGTTCCGACCGTGCCGATAGCCGACTGACCCGATGACCGGCCGATCGTCCCGACCGACCGTCCGAACGGTCCGATCGACCCGAAGCCCGTTTTGAAGCCCGTTTCACACGTTTTCAAGCCCGGCTTAACCCTAAGCCGCCTCTGAAGACCTAGCACTATATATATATTTTTAGCCTCTTGAGAAAGAGAGCCGCCCTTGTATTTCGATTTCCTACTCTAAGTTTTATTGCAATCATGTTTTCTTCATCTCTATGTGTGTTTGCTTTGATCATGTCTGAGTAATCCACTAGTTAGGTTGCTAGGGTTACTAATCAATGAGTTGCTTGCATGATCTTTGATTTCGATGTTTAGCTAGGGATTATCATTAGAGTCTTTGTCTCGTCTTGTGCACTTAACTAATGCTGATTGCTTTACCGCGCATCTAGTAATCCGATCTTAGGTTGATTTGAGCCTCGAAGTGTTGTATCATTCGCCGGACATATTCTTTGACAAGCTAGGTTTCTTAGACTGCGAAAGTTGATCTACTATAACTAGTGAACTGTATCAGAACCTATTCATTCTAAAGCTTGATTTAATCACCTAGGGACATACCAAAAGTTTAGCGACTAGGTAGATTAACAAAGGAGCCGGAGCCTCGAAAGTGGAATGGTTTTATATTCGTGATCTGTGTTCTAGACGGTTCTTAATATCCCAATATCCCTAATCAATTCATCTATCATTGTTTCATTGATCATTGCTTGCTTCTCTGCGATAGCCCCTATGACCTAGCGCTTTTCCTTATTGATTTACAACCTCGTTTACTTGCTAGTTCGGTTCACCATTACAACCTCAATCATACTTTTGTTTTAGCTTGATCCAAAATCCATAGTTTCAAAGTGTACTCAATAGCCAGTCCTTGTGTTCGATACCCATACTTCCGCGATCTGTGCACTTGCAGAGGTCTAGAGTTTGGTAAAACCTGACTCACATCAAGTTTTTGGCGCCGTTGCCGGGGACTGCAGCAGTACCTTTGAACTCGACTAGGATCTAGTCTAGAACCTTTTCCTGTTTTGCTTTTTTTTGCTTTTGAATTTTTAGTTTTTGATTTCTTTTCTTTGATTTTTGCTTTTGTTTTTGTTTTTCCCTTTTGATTTAACTTGTTTCCTAGACTCTTTTCAGGTGCATGACTAGGAGGTCCAACAAGGACAACCTAGTTGAACATCCAGAGATAGACAAGCTTGAGAAGCAACTTAGGAAGCAAAAGCCCAAGAGATGGCCGACGAAGCAGCTCGCGCTCACGCCGCTGAAGTGGCGCGCGCTCAATGAAGAAGGAAGAGATCCACCTCCTCCTCCTAATCCACAAGACCCTGCTGGAGATGTGAATGTGCAACCTCAAGCTGGAGCAAACAATCGGAGACTATGACTCTGCCGATGCTTTCTTCATGGATAGAAACCCTATCCATCCACCACTTCCTGCAAGGAATGACTATGAGATCAAGCCTCAGATCATAGCATTGGTTAGACAGAACCAATTCAATGGCCTTCCAGCTGAGCATCCTCTTGATCACATAGAAAACTTTGAAGAAATTTGCAGCACTACAAGATCCAATGGAGTCTCTGCTGACTACTTGAAGTGCAAGCTCTTTTCATTCTCTCTTGGCGACAAAGCTTCAAGATGGTTGAAGTCTCTGCCAGCTCACTCCATTACCACTTGGGATGAGTACAAGGCTGCTTTCATCAACCACTTCTACACCAAGCAAAGATCAATTTCTGTGAGGAACAAGATCTCCAACTTTCGCCAAGCCAACAATGAATCTTTCTATGAGGCGCTAGACCGATTCAAGGAGTACATTAGGGACTGCCCTAATCATGGTTTCAATGAGGGAAACCTATGGAACATCTTCTATCGTGGCATAGACCACAAGTACAAGCTTTCATTGGACACTGCAAGCAATGGAAACTTCATGACCAAGACTGTTGATGAAGCTAAGGTTCTTATTGAGAATCTTGCAGCTAGTGATTGTAACAACTGTCCTGATTATGACCGCTCAAGCCGCACCACTACTAGCTCCCCTGATTCTTTTCAAATGACTGAACTCAAGAACATGATGGCTCAAGTTCTTAAGGGACAGCTCAAGCATATCAATGCAATAGAAGGGATGAGTGATGCTAATGAAGACATCAAGAGAATGCATGGGAGATTTCTCTAATGAAGCCAATGAAGAAGATGTGAACTACATTGGAAACTATGGGAACAAGGGATACAATCCAAGCTATCGCCCAAACCCCAACATGTCTTATAGAAACCCCAATGTGGAGAATCCTCAAGACCAAGTGTATCCTCCAAGGTATCCACAACAACAAAGACCTCCTTACCAATCTCAAGGAAGTCAATTTCAGCCAAGGCAAGGATATGAGCAGAGATCATCATATCCGCCCAAGGAGCCATATGCTTCTTCACCAAATCAAGCTCCTCCAAACCAACAAGGTGGGAGATTTGAAGGAATCCTCCAACAGATCATGGATGGCCAGAAGAGAAACAAAAGAGATGTATGAGAAGATGGACACTTTGTTCAGCAATCTCAACACCAAGTATGATGCTGTTGCCACTCATGTGAAGAAACTAGAGACTCAAGTCACCAAACTATGGAAGCTGTTAAGAGACAGGAAGCTGAATCCAAGAAGTCCTTTTGCAACTCAGCCGCCATAGAAGAAAGATTTGAAGACCAAGTTCCAGAATGGATGCTTTCAAAACCTACTGTTGATTGCATGATTTGGCCTGAAGAGAATTACCCAGAGAGAGAGTCCAATCGAGCTAGAAAGAGAAGACTCTTCCCAAAGATTATCCCCAAGACAGATAACTCAGGAAAGTTTGTGTGCCTTGTATCATCAAAGGTAACATTCTTGAGCAATCTTTGTGTGACACAGGAGCCAATGTGAACATCATGTCTAAGAGGATAGCTGACAAGATAGGCCTCACCAAGATAGAGCCATCATCCATCTCCATCAACTATGCTGATTCATTCTCACAAACCCCTATGGCTTTGTGCCTAATGTGATGGTGCAGATTGGAAATTGCTCTATCCCTACTTTTCCAGATTGTGGAAATGAGAGAGAGTAGCCATAGACCTCTCATATTTGGAACCCCTTTCCTGTCTACTGTGGGTGCCATATTTGATTTCCCCAATCAAAGAATCTCTTTCAACAAGGTGAACAAGGGTATGTTCTTCCCTATGTGTTCAACAAAGAACTCTTTTGTTGACATGGTCCAAGAGGAGAAAGTTACTTTGAAGCCACCCCAAGAAGGAGAAACTGAAGAAACAATCAAGGAAGATCCCATTCCTAAGCCCAAGCAGCTTGCCAAACAAGCAAGGAGTAAGACTAAGGCCCCTACACCAAAACCGCCCAAGGGATCAACCAAGATTGAAGATGAGGCCAAGCCAAGAAGGAAGGTTAGAAAGCCTAGGTCTGGCCGCAACATGAAGCTTCTATTCCCAAAGGAGCTTATTGATGAGAATCTAGAAGGATTCAAGGAGAAAGTGACAAGAACTCTAAAGCTTTTTCCTAAGGCAGTAGTGCCAAGGGACATTCATGGAGAGATTGTCTATCCAGCTGTGAATCACCCACCAGATACTCATTGCAAGGAGAAAAGACTTGGAGGATCAAGGATGCCTCTTGTCTCCATCTTCTCCTGAGCGCCAAGCCTTACAGTCAAGCTAAAGACTTAAAACAAGCGCTGCATGGGAGGCAACCCATGAGGTACTTTTACTTTTCTTTCTTTAATTTCTTAGTTTTTGTTTTGCTTTTGTGTTTTCTTTGTTTTAAGATAGGATAGAAGGAGAAAAAGGTGTGAAAACACAATCCGCGCCAAAACATTGGCCGCGGACGCGCAAAAAATTTTGGCCGAGCAATTCCATCTGGCCGACCGTCCGGTCGAGCCGGGAAGGAATGCCGTGCTCGGCCGGATACTACTTGCGCGACAGAAACCGTTCGCGCACGGCACGAACAGGAAGAAAGGCCGCGATCGGCCGAAATGTATCGGAACGGACCGACCGTGCCGGTCGATCCGGGAAACAAACGATCGGCCTCGGCCGAAATTCTCTCGGCGATTTGGCCGACCAAATCGCTCGACCGCGACAAATCCATCGGCCATCGGCCCAAACTTTTCTCGGCCAAGGTAAGTCCCCTTTTCATTTAATTCAAACCGGTTTTAACCAATCTAAACCAACTTAAACCGGTTTTCAATCAAAATTCGAATTTGAAAAGGAAAATTAATAGGATTTCTTTATACTTTACCTTTCCCTTGAAAACAACAAGAACCTCTCTTTCTTCTCCAAAACCCTAAACTCCATTAGAGGAACTCTAAGAGTTTTGATTTCAAAACTTTTACTGTTCATAACTCTAAATTGGAATTTACTTGCTCTTGCAACCCTTATTCACTTTTCAACACACAAGGTATGTCTTCTAACTCTAATCCTATGTTTATGCAAGATCGAAATTTCAATAAGTTTCTGTTTGGTCTAAACTCTTGTCTAAACTTGAAATTACATCCTTATAGTCTTGTAATGAACTTAGCTAGGTGGAACCTAGGTGGTTTAGAGTTATTTGAAGTTTAATTTCACAATTGAATAGTTTTTCACAAAACTTATTGGGCATTCCAAACCCCTTATTCAAAGGTGAAATTGCTTAGGCATACTTCAATTCATTAGTTTATCTAGTGATTACTTGGATTAGAAACTCAATTTCTCTTGATTTGCTGAAAATTTCGATTTTAAGCACCATAATCTTGGGATGAACAGTAAAATCCGAAAATTAATTTTGAAAAAGTGAAATTTCCATTTTGTCTCTTTGATTCATGATTAAGCCTTGAGTTGTTCCATTATTCCATATCATTATTACAACTCAATTAGCTTATTCTTCTTTTGCATTAATCACAAACTCATATTTCTTCCCAAGAATTTGCTCTTGTAGGTACACCAATGGCAAAGACAAAAGGAAATGAGAGTATGAAGAAGAAGAAGAACCCATTCATGGAACCACCAAAGAAACAAATCAAGCTAGGGAGTAGTAGCTCCAATGCAAGAGCAGCAATACCAACTTCACCACATTCCATTGATGCAATCAAGAACATGTGGAGAGTCCAAGAAGAGAAGATGATTGGGCACTTGTAACCTTTGTTGGAGAACAAATCCAAGACCCAAGAAAGTGTAAGAAGGCAATGGAGAAGGTGAACATCGAACCTGTGTGAAGATGGACACCCAAACCCTTGATCTTCTCAAGATAAGAGATGATGTCACATGGTACATAAGGAAGCTAGGCTTGAGCAAGCTCTTCAAGCTAGAGTGTAGTGAGTACTCACAACTCACCAAGGAGTTCCTCTCCACAGTAGCTCTTGCCTTTCCCAACCACAATGGAGACCAACCAGCTGGTGATGGACTCCTACTCTTCAAGATAGGCGATGCCAATGGGCGCATCTCCATCTCAGCTCTATGCCAACTCTTTGGACTTCCCAATGAGACAGCACATGACTTCAAGGAGAACTCAAAGAGGAAACAAGCTGCCTTTGCTGATTGGACACACTTTGCCAATGAACCATTCTTGCCTTCAAGATCAAAGGTGTCTAGAATCACTCATCCAGCCATTCGCTATGTGCACCGCCTCATCTCCACCACTTTCCAATGCAAACAAGAAGCCAACAAGGTCACAACTGATGAGTTCTACATCCTCACCACACCATTCATCAAGCATGAGTACAAGGCCAACCTTGGACTTTTACTTGCCAAGACATTCATCAATGTGAGGAAGCTAGCTCAAACTTGGAAGGCAACAAGAAGCTTTGTGTTCGTTTTGGGAGGCTTATCACGGCCATAGTACAACATGTGGGGATTGACATTCCCAACTATGAGCCACTACCCAAGCCAACCCCTTTGGATCTCCATGCTCTTCAGCACATCCACTTCCTAAACCGTTGGACTAAAGACCCAACTCGGTTTTGCTATGAGTTTCCAATTGGTCCAGCCAACACTTCCCTTGTCTTGCTGCCACATGAAGATCCCAAGCCTACGCTCAGGTGTTGTCACTTTCCAGCCCAATGAGGAAGACTTCTATGTTCCATCAAGTGAGAAACCATCATTCCCCATGCTCACCTATCGCACACTTCAGCATGCAGTCAAGACTCAACGCCGCCACCAAGAACGCCATGTTCTCACTACTGGCATGGCCGCACCAAGCTCTAGACCGTGTTAACAAGCTGGAGAAGATAGTGGAATGCCAATCTCGCTTCATCTCACGCCTAGTTCGTGTAGTTCGCCACATTGCACCGGAGAGACTCTTTCGCCCTTCTTCCACCGCTAGAGAGCCATATGAGCCTGACCTTGGTGAGTTCTCACTAGACTCAGAGCTTGGTTCAGAAGGCGATGACCCCATAGATGAGGAAGAGAGTTCTTCTCACTGCCACACATAGTCATCTCAAGTGGTACTTAGTGCAATGGACACTTACAAATCTCCATTTTCTATCCCTATCTCATTTTAATGAATTTCTTTTTATTTTTCTTTTACTTTGAATATTACCTCTCACCTTAATGTGATTTGCTTTCACCGGGACGGTGCAAGTTAAGTCTGGGGGGAGTTTTATTGTGTTACTAATGCATTTTTCTTTCTTTTCTTATGTTTTATTCACTTTGTTTCATGTTTTTCAAAAAGTTTTATTGAGTCAAAAACCAGTCCGGAAGTTATGAACTTGCTTTGAGAATTGAGAGTGTTGTGCTAACAATCCATGACCCTAGAGCAGAAACCAGCTAAAGGCACAAGCCTAACAGAAGCTCTTACAGTGGATCGACATGCTAGCTCAGCAAAATTTCTAAGGTAACCAAGCAATCTAGAGTTAACCTCACCTTAATCAATCTTAATACTCTTGTCAAGGGGGTTGGCATACATGTCGACAGTTCCTTGCTTGATTTTCAATAAGATTTGTCTAATCTTTAAAGAGTTCTCCTCTCTCTCCCATCCCAAATGGTAAGTAATATTTATGAGAAAAAGCTCAAAGAGCACAAGGAAAACAAGTAAGCATGAGGAATGCATATGTCTGTACCTTCATGTCTTATGGAATACCTTAGTCAAACAAGGAACAAGCTAAAGACTTATCCTGTGGTTGAAAGAAGGGTCAATAGAAAAAATAAAATGATACCCTAGAAAATGATGTACTTGCATTTTACATAGTTTTAGTACATCTTTTATGCATCTTTTGCATAGTTTTAGCATCCATTAGCATCATATCTTGTTCCTTTTCTCTTCTTATGCATTCATGTTAGTTTTAGGTTGCATTTGCATACATATGCATGTTTGGTCCTTTGAAATAGGTCTTTTGGAGCATTCTGGAGCATATGGGACGTAAGGAGCATGGAGGGACTTGGCACATGGACGCAGCTCAACTGGATACGCAAAGGAAGAAGGGAGAAGCCATCTTGAAGACCAGCTCGACCGTCTACTCGACCAACCGGTCGAGTTCCTCAACTCGACCGGCCAAGCTTCAACTCGATCGAGCTGAGAAGTCAACAGTCAAACCCGAAAAATGTTGCTTCCCCCTTGACTTTCCTTTGACCCTAAACCTAATCCTCTTGTATTTAAAGGCTCTAAGCCACGAAAAAACCACCAAGCTTTAGATTATTTTGTTTTAGTTTCTTTTAATTTATTGTCTTTTACTTTTTAGAGCTCTAATCCCATCTTTGTGTTCTTGAAGCTCTTGCTTCTTGAATCCTAGATCCTGGATAATCTCTTTGTATTTGCACTTGCTTATTTCAATAAAAGTTGTTTAATTTCATCTCCTCTTTCTTATGATGTCTCTTTTATTGCATTTGCTTGTGTTTACATTCATGTGTAGTGAGTAGTTACCCATTAGGGTTTGAGATGGGATAGATTAGAGGTTTCATATGCTTAATCCTTCTAGCTTATGGTCTTAATCTAGATTCTCTCTCTTTTGGATAGATCTTAAGGCTACATGACCACTACCCCTGGCTTGTAAGTCCTTAGGCGACTCCCCACACGAAAGTGATGGCATTCGCTGGAAAAGATCCACTAAGAGCTCCAATATCTCTTGCTCTAGAAATAGAGGTCTAAGGGGTTGGATGGATTAGTTTGGGCAATGATCCTATAGCCTCCAAGGTTTGATTCTCACTGGCTAACCCCCTGTTTCTGAGATCATTCCTTGGTTGATAGCCTCACCTTGGGAAAGGGTTGGCTAGGCATTGAGAAGCCCAATATCAAGAGAAGCCTTGATACAAGGAGTTTTAAGAGCTAGATTGATTAAGTGTAGATTCCTTTGATTGCAAAACCCTGTCTTGAACCCTAATTCTCTCTTATCTTGTTAAAGTCGTCACCTTTAGCTTTTTTCTCAACTCGACCCTAAACTCGATCGAGCTGGTACTCTGTTCTACTCGACTCGAGTCTTGGTCGAGCTGTTACTTCACTGCTTTGTTTACTTTTATTGCACTGCATTTCATTTTTAGGTTGTTAGTGTTACTTCAAATCTTTACTGCTTGCTTGACTTCCTGGTTGTTTCATATTCTCATAGAGTGACAAGTTTCCCATTTTGGATTGATAACCCTTTGTACTACATCAACTATCATGGTTAAAGGGAATTGTTGACTGTGTTTGTGTTTGCATCTTACCACCTCATCATATACCACTGTTGCATTCCACCACATCTCATTTCATATCTTTTCACATCCACACACAAATCCTATCATCAATTTGGCGCCGTTGCCGATTTGGGAATATTTTTGTTGCATTTGAGTTTCAAACATACTTGGACGATCAAGCTATACCACCCCTGTTCTATTGTACTGCTGGGTTTTTGTCTCTTTTTGCAGGTGTATGCGAACTCGATCGAGTCGGTCTACAGAGACTTGGTCGAGCTAGACTTACAACGGGTAGAAAGAGGGTTCAGAGGTCACAGAGGGTACAAGAGGAACCTGAGGTGCTTGTTGCTGATACAATGGATGTACCAGAGGGGAATGGAAACCCTTTGGGAATGGACTCGGTCGAGCTAGTTCGCATACACCTGCAAAGGAGCATTGTAGAGCGATCTTCACTAAAGAGGAAGGATTTGATCAACAAGCTGCTAATGAGAAGGATATTGAGGATGACAAGGAGACCAAATTACGGCCAACTCCTAAACGGCGTGACCGAAGTCCACCAAACTTCACAGGCGACCATAAAATCACATTTTGGTCGGCAAATCCAAAAGATAGGACGGAGAAATCATCACGGATCATGAGATAGACGACGGAGCTCATTCTGGCCGATGGCGCGCAAGCAATATGGCCGACAAAACCAAATCACGGCATAGGCGCGCCAACCGGTTGGAAAACTCTTCTTTGAGCTTAACTAACACTTTTATGCAGGAAGAAACGAAAAGGAACGAGCCAAACTTCAATGGCCAAGGAAACTCCTTCCCGGAGCCGACTTGACCATTTTGTGAAGGAAGTCTCAATCCGCTCGTACAAATGCTCCCAAACTTCACCAGAGGCCATAAAATACCAGGTTGGTCGATGAAATTTCAATATAGGTCATGAAATTTTTGACGGTTTGTTCTGTAGTTCACAGCACCACATTTTGGCCGACCGAATATACCAATCTCGGCCAAAACACAAACCGGCGGAAACCAAGGCCTGAAATTAAAAACTCACCGACCAATATTGCCTAAAGAAGTGTAGAATGACCCAAACCGGAACTGATCTTCATTATAAATTGGTCGACATTTGGTAACATCATCCTAAACCTTTTTCTTTTCAATTTTTCATTTGAACTTCATGTTATGCCTCTCTTAATCCGATTTGATTTCACCGGGACGGTGCAAGTTAAGTCTGGGGGGATTACTAACAATGTTTGTTCATTTTGGCGTTTTCATTTGCATTTTTTCCCTTTTATCGAGTCGTTTTTATTGAGTCAAAATTTTTGTCGAGAATCATGACCTTATCTTGGATCTAACCATGGTTGTACTAATGTTTAAGTGACCATTGAGCAGTTCTTGGCAATACATCTTACCACAGGTGCACTATGAGTTGATCGATCTACCAAAAACGCCTACATCTCTAAAGACTTGAGAAGGATCCATCTTTGACTCCGCCCTTAATGAACTTAATCTTCTCAGCTAGGGGCTTGGCATACAAATGGCATGATTCCTCATCCTCTCCATCAAATGAAAAAGTCTTAGTGAGTTCGTGCTTCCCTCTCTCTCCCCTTCAAATTTAAAGAAAAAGCGTAAGGTCCAAGTAACCGGGGATTCGGTGGCAAACACCATCAATACTCGCGTCTATGGAAGGCCTATGAATCCAAGCAACCGGGGATTCGGTGGCAAACACCATCAATACTCGCGTCTGTGGAAGATCCAAGCAAAACCTCTATAATAAAGAGAAGGAGTTGAATAAAAAAATACTTCGCTACCCTAAAAAAGGGATGAATCAACTCAAAGAAGTGAGAAGAGAGAGAGGAGAAACATGGAGTAAAAAGACAAGTGCCAAACAAGGGGATGAGTAAGAGTCTAAAAGCCGGCTGATCGATACTCCCTAGTTGAGACCACACCTTTAGAAATGAAAGGAGTCAAGGGTGGCGAATTGGATTGTCCAAGGAGAGGTGGACCGCTTTGGGAAAATCGCAAAACTCATGGTATGTACTTTGTTCTTAATTCAAAACTTGCCAATGCTGTTTCATGTGGATTACTAAAGCATAAGTCAATTTGGATTTCCAAAAGATTTGAGAGTTCTCACGTTTTCAAACCTCTTTTCCTGCTTAGTTTGCTTGGGGACAAGCAAAAGGCTAAGTCTGGGGGAGTTGATATCACCATATTTTACATGATTTTACTATATAATTACTATGTTTTCAAACGGTTTTTGCAAGATTCTTTGCCTTTAGAGGTAGTTTTCTTGTATTTGTGGGATTTGAAGTCTTTGTAGGTGAAACCATCAAAAAGGATGCAAAAAGGAGTAAAAGAGCCCTAAATCAAGATCCATGCAAGTTTCCAAGTCAAGAAGATCATTTTATCTCCAAGTGTTAGTTCTCGCTAGCGCGCAGAACGAAGCTTCGGAAGTTTGGCCGCGCGCGGAGGAGTTCCCGACGTCCAAAAGTTACGATCTTGATATGGAAAGATAGATACTTGAGTCATGCATCACGTCGAAGTGGAATGAAGCCATTTGGATCAACTATGAGGCCTAGAACTTATTTTCTACCGAGACATGTCCGGTAAGCGAGCAAACGAAGCCCATGGAGGATTTGGAGTGTCTAATGGCCCGAGCAGCAGCGCCAAAGGCCTTGATCGAATAGAGAAGAGGCCTGGCTAATGTTTGGAGCTTTCCTTGGTACAATGTCGGCCCATACACGACGTGGAGAAGAAGGCTTTGCTCATGGGAAACTTTCCTTTTCCGGCATGAAGAAAACCCTACGCGACTTCGCCCATATATACATGTTTTTAGCCGCTGAAGAAAGAGTCCGAAAATTATCAAAGAGTGTACGTGTGAGAAGAGAGAGAGGAGAGAAGCCCTAGGAGATCGTCCAAGAAGAAGGAGGCGCCGCTCAACTCTTGTTCTTTCTTTTTCATTGTTTCCATTTCTATAAACTTGATCTTAAGAGTTTTCAAGGGAGAATCCGACTTTGTTCATCAATAGAGAAGCTTTCTTCATCCCTTTATCTCTTTTAATACTTGCATAATGTTTACAATCATGCTTTGCTTGCTTGTTTGCATCATGGCCGAGTAGATCTCTTAGTTAGGCCGAGGAGATCTATGGTGGCCGTGATGATTTGATTGTGTTGCAACTTATTGGGATTTATCTTATGGATCTTCACCTTTACTTGAGCTTAATGCATGATTACTCTACCGTACATCTAGTAATCTGATCTTAGAGAAATAGAACCACGACAGTGCTGAATCTAGATCTCAAAACTAGTATTTGGTGAGCAATAGATCATAGCCAACGAAAGCTGAGTTATGGTTTATTGTGAACAATTGAATCTTGATCACCTTTAATGCATGTTTGCAATTCTAATAGCCAACGAAAGCTGAGTATATTAGGTTGTTTTAAACATAGTGGTTGGAGCCACGACAGTGGAAAGACCATACACTAGTGATTCATGTTCAAGACGGCTCTACACACATCCCATGCAACTATCTTTTCATCATTGCTCCATATGATTGTCCTTTGCCTAACTCTTGTTTTAAATTGTTTACAACTCACTCACATTTCTTTTGTTTGTTTTCTCATTCTAGGTCCAAAACCATCCATATTGCGAGCTAGCTACAAACCAATCTCACAAGGTGTTAAGTGAGAACACTTCCTCCTCGTGTTCGACCCCGACTACAACACGGCTGTGCACTTGCAGCTCATTAGTTGGGTTTATAAATTGTGAAAATTTGAGGCAATCTAAACCCGCCATCAGTCGCACAGCCAAGCAAAGGAGTGAGATATCAAGCTTCATCCAGAGGAACAATGAGACATTTGCTGAAGCATGGGAGAAGCTTCAAAAGCTACACAAGTCAGCGCCCACATCATGGCTTCAACAATGAGTCTTTGCTCTCTACTCTTTATAGAGATGCTTGCAAGGTATAGAGAGATGTTGGACACAGCCAGCAATGGGAACTTCCTTAATCAGGATGTGGATGATGGCTGGCAGCTTGTGGAAAACATTGCAACTCCAATGGAAGCTATGGAGAAGAGTATGATCGCACCAACCGGAGCTCGACCCACCACTCGATCGAGTCCGATGAGAAATTGAGAAAAGATGTTAAGTCATTGAATGAGAAGTTGGATAAGCTTATCTTAGCTCAGTCCACAATGAAGAAAGTCAATTTGTGTCTGCTGAAGAGATGGAACCAGTCCAAGAAGGGGAGGATACACAATTTGCTGAGGTGTGCTACATGAGCAATGGGCAAGGAGGTTACAACAAAGGATACTATAATTACAAGTCCAACCCAGCCATGTCATACCGAAACACTGATGTTGCTAACCCTCAGGACCAGGTCTATCCTCAACAACAGCAAGCTCGATCGAGTCAAGCCCCACAACATGGGTATGGTCCAAAGAACAACTACCAAGGACCCCAAGGGACTTTTCCTGGTCAGCAAATGCACATACCACCTGGCTTTCCCCACCAACCACCCCAGCCTGCACCCACGCAAGAGAATGAGCTCAAGGCTATGCTGAAACAATACTTCAAGGGCAAGCTGATGGTGTAGTGGACACAAGCAAGAAGCTAGCTGAAATCAACTCCAAGATTGAGAATCTCAACACAAGAGTTTACTCTCTGGAGAATCATGCTTCTTCTGTTGCTGCTGCTACAAAGCAAGGACAACTACCTGGTAAAGCCATTCAGAACCCCAAGGAACAGTGCAAGGTCATCTTCACTCAAGAAGGTCTTGATGAAGAAGAGGATCAAGAGAGAGTCATGGAAGAGTTTTGTTTATGCTGCTGAATGATGACGAGATTGTTGCTGCTGAGGCTCCTGGAGTCCAGATTGATCAACCAGAAGTGCAACCTACTGTGGCCTTCACACTTCACCAGTTGAGCTCGCACAGACAAGCTCGATCGGCAGCTCGATCGAGTCGAACTCTAGCTCGATCGAGTCCGACTTCATCAGTCCTCAAGCCGATTTTGCTTGATCCTTACCAGCCAGTTGATACATCATCAGGCCGCCTACTCAGTCAAGCCACAAGGAAGTGATTCACAAGTTCAGAAGAGACCTAAGTGAGATTGGAGTTGAGTTGCCTTCTATGGAAAGCATGAGTGAGGCATTTGAGAAATGAAGTTGATCAAGATGTTATGGCTAACAAGGACAAGTTTCTGAGCTTCTGGAGATGTCTACTCACCAAATCAACCTGCTTACTTCACCTACTTTCTTACCAAAGGTGAAGGATCAAGGGAAATTCACTCTCCCTTGCACACTTGGGCATATTGAGCTTGACAATGCCTTGGTGGATTCTGGTGCAAGCATCAACCTCATCTCACTCACAATGGCAGAAAAGATTGGTATTACTTGGATCTTAGAGTTGCCAGCTCTATTAAGAGAGAAGAAGGCATGCTACCAGGAAAAGTGGAAATCAATCCAAGGAGAGCAGCTGTAGCAGCTATCACTCTTAGGAATGGAAAAGGGTATGAGCCACCAGCATACCCAGATCAAGAGGAAGCAAAGCCGCCAGTCAAGAAGAAACCAATGGAGTATGTCATATTGGAGATGGTACTGAACCACCTAAAGAAGTCCATGTCAGAATAGAACCAGGAACTCAGGAGGAAGTGGAGAAGCCACCTGAAGAACCAAGAGTGTATGAGCCAAAGATCCCATACAGAAATGTTCTTTCTCAGCCCAAGAAGGAGAAGGAGCAAGCAAAGCTCAAGGATCTTGTTAGCCAACTTTCAGTAAGGTTACCTTTCATTGATGCCTGCCAGATAATTCCATCTCTCAGGAAGTATATGAAAGCCATACTCACAAGCAATGTGAGTCTTGAAGAAGGAGCAATGATGATTACAAAGGAGTGTAGTGCCATACTTCAGAATCGCATGCCAGAGAAGCTGAACGACCCAGGAGTTTTGTTTTGTCTTGCAAGATCGGTTCTACACACTTCCATAGAGCACTTTGTGATTTGGGTTCTAGTGTGAACCTAATGCCTTACTCAGTGGCCAAGCTATTGGGCATCACTGACTTCAAACCTACAAAGATCTCTCTAGTCTTTGCAGACAGATCTGTTCGCCGCCCTGTTGGTGTTATTATGGATGTTCCAATCATGGTTGGAGATTGCTACATCCCTGCTGATTTTGTAGTTCTTGAGCTGGAACACCAACCTAAAGACCCTCTTATCTTGGGAAGGCCATTCCTAGCTACTGCAGGAGCTATAATAGATGTCAAGAATGGAAAGATTGACTTGCATCTTGGAGATATAGTGATGAATTTCGAAGTAAACAAGTCTATGGAGAAGCCAACTGTAGATGGTCAAGCTTTTTGGATTGGAGAGCTCGCAGAGACAAGAGAAGAAGTGCTGGATGAACTCCTTCTTATTGATCCCTTGGAGCTAGCTTTGACAAAGGCTGAGAATGAGTATGGATACATGGAAAGAGAAGCTCAATGCTTAGTCAAGTTCATGGATTCCAAGGAAGCTTATAAAGAGCTATAGCTTATATGGACTTAGAGAGAGAAGAGGAAGAGCCAGACATTGACAAGAGTCAGGAAATATCACAAACCAAAGTTAAGTTCGACCCATGGTGCCCACTTAGAGCTCCAAAAGCCGAGCTCAAACAACTCCCAGTTGGTCTAAGGTATGAATATCTTGGTCCTAATGAAACATATCCTGTTATTGTTAATGCTGCACTAACAAAAGAAGAGACCGCTTTACTTGTTCGCGAACTGAGAAAGCATAGAAAGGCTCTTGGTTACTCTTTGGATGATTTAACAGGAATCTCACCTGAACTATGCACACATCGCATCATCCTGGAGGATGAGTCTAGTTCTTCAATTGAACACCAAAGGAGGCTAAACCCAAACCTAAAGGAAGTTGTCAAGAAGGAGATAATGAAGCTATTGAAAGCTGGAGTGATTTATCCAATATCAGATAGTGCATGGGTCAGCCCTGTACATGTCGTGCCAAAGAAAGGAGGGATCACAGTCATCAAGAATGAACATGATGAGCTCATTCCAACAAGGACAATCACTGGACACAGAATGTGTGTCGACTACAGGAAGCTGAACTCCTCCACGCGCAAGGACCACTACCCCTTGCCATTCATAGATCAGATGCTTGAGCGCCTTGCCAATCATCAATACTACTGTTTCTTGGATGGATACTCAGGATTTTTCCAAATTCCAATCCACCCAGATGATCAGGAGAAGACTACATTCACTTGTCCCTATGGCACATATGCTTATAGGAGAATGCCTTTTGGATTGTGCAATGCTCCAGCTACATTCCAAAGGTGTATGATGTCCATATTCACAGATCTAATAGAAGAGATTATGGAGGTTTTCATGGATGATTTCTCAGTATATGGTTCTTCCTTTGAATCATGTTTGGGGAATCTTGGAAGAGTGCTACAGAGATGTGAAGACAAGCACCTAGTTCTAAATTGGGAGAAGTGCCACTTTATGGTTAGAGATGGAATAGTGCTTGGACATAGAATCTCAGAGAGAGGCATAGAAGTTGATAAGGCCAAGATTGAAGTAATGACAAACCTTCAGCCGCCCAAGACAGTTAAAGATATCAGAAGCTTCCTAGGACATGCTGGATTCTACAGGAGGTTCATTAAAGATTTCTCACAGATAGCAAGGCCGCTAACACGCCTATTATGCAAGGATATTAACTTTGAGTTCACAGAGGAGTGTCACAAGGCTTTCACTAAGATCAAAGATGCATTGGTCAGTGCGCCAGTGGTTCAACCTCCAAACTGGGAACTACCTTTTGAGATAATGTGTGATGCAAGTGATTATGCAGTAGGAGCAGTGCTTGGACAAAGAAAGACAAGAAGCTACATGTGATCTACTATGCCAGCAGAACACTTGATGAGGCACAATGCAAGTATGCCACAACAGAAAAGGAGCTTCTTGCTATTGTCTTTGCATTTGAAAATTTCGATCATACTTGGTGGGATCAAAGTTATAGTTCATTCTGATCATGCAGCATTAAGGTATCTCTTATCCAAGAAAGATGCCAAGCCAAGATTGTTGAGATGGATACTACTATTGCAAGAATTTGATCTTGAGATCAAGGATAGAAGAGGAGCAGATAATGGAGTAGCTGATCATCTTTCAAGGATGAGAGTTGAAGAAAATCTACCCTTGATGATAGGCTACCTGAAGAATCAGTTTATGCAGCTGAAGCTAGCAATAAGCATGGACAACTAGGCCATCACAGGCCAGGAACAAAGATCTCATCATCAAACACACCATGGTTTCGCCACATAGCAAACTTCCTTGCAGCTGAATACCCACCACCAAACTTCTTTGGCTACAGAAAGAAGAAGTTTCTGCGTGATGTAAGAAGGTACTACTGGGATGAACCTTACTTATACAAGAAATGTTCAGATGGAATGTTTAGAAGATGCATACCAGAGGAAGAGGTAGAAGGAATATTGTTTGCTTGTCATAGTTCTAGCTATGCAGGCACTTTGCCACTTACAAGACAGTATCCAAGGTCCTACAAGCTGGATTTTGGTGGCCAACTATGTTTAAGGATGCTCATGCATTCATATCAAGATGTGATGCTTGCCAAAGAATGGGAAATATAAGCAAGAGGAATGAGATGCCACAGAACTTTATACTAGAAGTTGAAGTTTTTGATGTTTGGGGCATTGACTTTATGGGACCTTCCCAACCTCTTTTGGTGACCAATACATTCTAGTGGCAGTTGATTATGTCTCCAAATGGGTGGAAGCCATCGCCAGCCCTACTAATGACGCACAAGTGGTCATCAAGATGTTTAAATCCATCATTTTTCCAAGGTTTGGAGTGCCTAGGATAGTCATAAGTGATGGAGGTTCACATTTCATAACAGAATCTTTGCCAACCTTTTGAAGAAGCATGGAGTCACTCACAAAGTTGCCTCTCCTTACCACCCTCAAACTAGTGGACAAGTTGAGATCTCAAACAGAGAACTCAAGAGCATACTTCAGAAGACAACAGGCAAGACAAGAAAGGATTGGAGTGCCAAACTAGATGATGCTCTATGGGCATACCGCACTGCCTTCAAAACACCACTTGGTACCACCCCCTTTCATCTTGTTATGGTAAAGCATGTCATTTACCTGTGGAGCTGGAGTACAAAGCAGCTTGGGCTATTAAGGAGTTGAACTTCAACCTAAAGACAGCAGGAGAAAGAAGATTGATTCAGCTGAATGAGCTTGATGAGATTAGGCATCTGGCTTATGAGAATTCAAAGATCTATAAGGAGAGAACCAAAGCTTTCCATGACCGCAAGATCATCCCAAAGAACTTTGCGCCAAACGACCAAGTTCTACTATTCAACTCAAGGTTGAAACTCTTTCCAGGAAAGCTTCGCTCAAGATGGTCAGGACCATTCAGGATTAAAGAAGTTCGCCCCTATGGAGCAGTGGTACTATGGGACCAATGGGAGGAGACTTTACAGTCAATGGACAAAGGTTAAAACCCTACCTAGCCTCCACCACCATACCACAGGAGACCACACTAGCTCTTGGCGATCCACCAGATCCTTAAGGAAGTGCCATACAGTCAAGCTAAAGACTTTAAACAAAGCGCTGAATGGGAGGCAACCCATTGAAGGTCATTTCTTTTCATTTTCTTTCTTTAATTTTCTTTTGTTTTGAATATTACCTCTCACCTTAATGTGATTTGCTTTCACCGGGACGGTGCAAGTTAAGTCTGGGGGGAGTTTTATTGTGTTACTAATGCATTTTTCTTTCTTTTCTTATGTTTTATTCACTTTGTTTCATGTTTTTCAAAAAGTTTTATTGAGTCAAAAACCAGTCCGGAAGTTATGAACTTGCTTTGAGAATTGAGAGTGTTATGCTAACAATCCATGACCCTAGAGCAGAAACCAGCTAAAGGCACAAGCCTAACAGAAGCTCTTACAGTGGATCGACATGCTAGCTCAGCAAAATTTCTAAGGTAACCAAGCAATCTAGAGTTAACCTCACCCTTAATCAATCTTAATTACTCTTGTCAAGGGGGTTGGCATACATGTCGACAGTTCCTTGCTTGATTTTCAATAAGATTTGTCTAATCTTTAAAGAGTTCTCCTCTCTCTCCCATCCCAAATGGTAAGTAATGTTATGAGAAAAAGCTCAAAGAGCACAAGGAAAACAAGTAAGCATGAGGAATGCATATGTCTGTACCTTCATGTCTTATGGAATACCTTAGTCAAACAAGGAACAAGCTAAAGACTTATCCTGTGGTTGAAAGAAGGGTCAATAGAAAAAATAAAATGATACCCTAGAAAAGTAGGGATAAATTGACCTTTCAAAGTTCTGATGTGAGAAAGAGAGAGGAAAAGAACTCATTGCACTTAAAGAGGCAATCTTGGAGAGATCAAGTGGGTAAGAACAAGTTCAATTGATCGATGTCCCCTTGATAAAGAATTCACGCTTTAAATTTATGCAAGAGGTTAGCAATAGAGAGTTTGGATTGCTGGATGAGACTAGTTGGGTTGGTATTGTTCGCTAAACTTGCAGGGTGTATGTGAAGCTAACCTTATGTTGTCTATGTTCATAGTGGAATACAGGAAAGGAACCTTTCACAGGATATTCAAAAGAGCAAGGGAGCTTCCACGTTTTCAAACCTCTTTCACGGATTTAGATTCTTTTTGCTTGAGGACAAGCAAAGATCTAAGTCTGGGGGAGTTGATATACCTCTAATTTACCCACTTTTTATACTGTTTTAGCATTGTTTTCTAATGGTTTTTGGCAGGTTTTCTATCTAAAAAGGTAGTTTTACTGTGTTTATAGTGTCTAGAGTCTAAACAGGTGAAATGATGCATTTTGGAGCAAAACCATAGGATTTGCACTTCAAGCAGCTCCATGCACAAGCACCAACTTTAAGAGGGCCCAGAAAAAGATCTACTCAATGGATTTCATCAAGACCAGTTCCCTGCGTGCTCTGATTGAGTTAACTTTCCAACGCAACTGGAACGGCCTAATTTGGATGAGTAGAAAAGGAGTTATAACCAAAAGAGTGAAGACTGTCCAGACGGCTCTATCGAGAAACAGCGCCCAACCGCGCAGTCCGGCTGGCCGAGAAACTATGTTTCGCGCTCGGCCAAAGTCACATCCGTCCGACTGAAGTCTCGGCCAAAGTTCCAAACCGACCGGCCGATCACGCAACGCGACCCGGGAAACATTGCCCGCGGTCGGCCAAGCTTCAAACCTCCACGCCACGCCGCGCACGACCAAAGCGCGCGAGCCGGGAAACAAGGCCTCGCGGCCGCGCAACCCGTTCGCGTACCACGGCCGATGCATCCGTCCGAGCCGGGAAAGAACGTCCCACGTCCGGCCGAGAAACCATCGGCCAAATCTTCATCCGTCCGACCACGCCGGCCGACCGTGAATCCATCCGGCCCGACCGTTCCGACTCGGCCCACGACCCGATGTCCGGCCGATCGTCCCGCACGACCGTCCCAACGCCGCGGTCGACCCGAAGCCCTTTTTGAAGCCCAAATTTCATATTTTCAAGCCCGGCTTAACCCTAAGCCGCCTCTAGAAAGACCTAGCACTATATATATGGATTTTTAGCCTCTTGTGAAAGAGAGCCGCCCTTGTATTTCGATTTCCTACTTAAGTTTTATTGCAATCATGTTTTCTTCATCTCTTTGTGTTTTTGCTTTGATTATGTCTGAGTAATTCACTAGTTAGGTTGTGAGATCTATCAAAGAGTTCATGGTTTGATAGGTTGTTAGAAGTCACATAGGGTTTATCATATCGCATCTTCGCCTCTGCTTGAATTCATTGCTGCTTGCTTTTCTGATCAACTAGCATCAGATCTTAGGTTTCATATACTGATGCGGCATCTATGGGATGAGTACAAGTAATAATTCCCTAAGACAACTAGTGTTGCAAGTGCACAACATATAATTGTAGTATTTAGGGGTCGAACCACAAGGGATTGGATTTCACACATTACATAATCATAGAGTTTAAATGACTAAGCTAAATCAAAAGATGCAAGGGTTTGTGTTTGTTTAGAACACGCAAAAGAAATAACAATGCAATTCTATACAAGCAACATTATTGAACTATTGAAAACTCTTTTGAAAACATGAGCCAAGTCGATTGAAAAGTTTGTTAAAATCCGATTCTTTTGAACTCAAAACACTAAGGAAGGATTATTCCACTTTCGTGGTTCCAATCCCCTATGTCTCTTAAACCAATGGGCTCAGCTTTCGTTGGTCATTGTAGAGTGAGACATGCATTACATCCAAGTAATGATTGTTCACAAAACTCTTTAGGTCTACTTTCGTAGCCTAAAACGATTTGCCCATCAAATATTATGTCCGGAGATATAACAAGCTTTTGGAGAGTATATCAACCTAAAATCAAGTCACTAGTTAGCTACTCTAGCAACAGCATTAAGCATAAATAAAGATGGAGAACCATAGGGTTTCCCCTTTTAACAATCGATTTTCGATGGCCATTATATCACGTCCTCATTGGAAGGATCCATAATTCAACAATGAGTCTTAGATAGTAGATGAAGTCTCATGAATCCTTAGAGAGAGAGGCGGCGGAATATGACTAAACCACGCCTCACCCTTAGGGAGAAATCTCTACTTCTAGACTATATAAATTGAAACATGCAAGCTATATACAAATGCAAAAGAAGAAAAGAAAGAAGAAGGAGACCACCTAAGTGGCTCCGAACTTTATTGAATAAGTGTTTCTTGTTATGCGGCTGGTGATTCTTATTACAAGAGGCTAAAAGCAAGTATATATAGGTAGAGAGCGGGTCTAGGTCGGCAAAGTTGAGCGCGCGCAGAAGAGGAAAGTTTCCATTTCTCTTTAGCCGCTTGAGCTTGCTCTCCAAGTTCTTGAATGGGCCGCGTTCAGGCCAATGGAAGCTTCTGGATTGAGTTATGCTAGTGTCAAGATGAGCCAAGGCCTTGGGCGCGGTATCCGGGCCTCTTGATCCATCAAAGTCTCCATGGGCTCTACTTAGGCGCTCGTCGGACATGTCTTGGTAGAAAATAAGTTCCGGTCCAACGAGTGATCCAAATGACCTCTTTCCACTTCGCCGCGGGTCATGACTCAAATATCTATCTTTCCATATAAGAATCATGACTTTTGGACGTCGGGAAGGCATGAATATGCGGTCGTACTTCGGATGCTCCGGTTTGGTCTTTAGCGAGAAATGTAGATTTGGTGCTCTAGACTTGGGAACTTGGTGATTTGACTCTTTTTGCTCCATTTTGACTCTTCTTTGCTATTTTGACCTGAATGATGCTCAAAACCAGAATATACAAGAAAACTACCTCTTGGGCTTAAAAACCACATTATTTGTATTAAAAACATAGTGAAAACCTTGATAAAAACATGAAAGATATGGGTATATCAACTCCCCCAGACTTAGCCTTTTGCTTGTCCCCAAGCAAACTAAGAGAGGAAGAGAGGTTTGAAAACGCAAGAACTCTCAAATCATTAGGAAATCCGGGTTGGCTTGGTTTTAGTAATCCACATGAAAGTAGTAAAGGCAAATATTTGAATTAAGAACAAGAGTACATACCATGAGTTTTGCGATTTTTCCAAGGCGGCCCACCTCTCTTTGGACAATCCAATTCACCCTCCTTGACTCCTTTCATTTCTAAAGGTGTGGTCTCAACTAGGGAGTATCGATCAGCCGGCTTTAGACTCTTACTCATCCCCTTGTTTTGGCACTTGTCTTTTTACTCCATGTTTCTCCTCTCTCTCTTCTCACTTCTTTGAGTTGACTCATCCCTTTTTTAGGGTAGCGAAGTATTTTTTTATTCAACTCCTTCTCTTTATTATAGAGGTTTTGCTTGGATCTTCCACAGACGCGAGTATTGATGGTGTTTGCCACCGAATCCCCGGTTGCTTGGATTCATAGGCCTTCCATAGACGCGAGTATTGATGGTGTTTGCCACCGAATCCCCGGTTACTTGGACCTTACGCTTTTTCTTTAAATTTGAAGGGGAGAGAGAGGGAAGCACGAACTCACTAAGACTTTTTCATTTGATGGAGAGGATGAGGAATCATGCCATTTGTATGCCAAGCCCCTAGCTGAGAAGATTAAGTTCATTAAGGGCGGAGTCAAGAGTGGATCCTTCTCAAGTCCTTGGAGGTGTGGGCGTTTTTGGTAGATCGATCAACTCATAGTGTCCCTGTGGTAAGATGTATTGCCAAGACTGCTTCAATGGTCACTTAAACGTTAGCACAACAATGGTTAGATCCAAGATAAGGTCATAATCCTTTGACAAAATTTTGACTCAATAAAACGACTCAATGAAATTCAAAAAGAACAAACTTGTTAGTAATCCCCCCAGACTTAACTTGTCTCGGTGTAAGAAAAATCCAATTAAGAGAGGTAATGATAAATATGAATGGAAAAGTTAGAGTTTGTAGAAAATTGTACCCAAATTTTTGGCCTTTGATGTGAAGATCGGTTGTGCGCTTTTGTTGCTTCCAGGAATGAACTGACTGGTGCAAACATCATAGCTGTTGGATTTGGTTGGATGAATGTGACAATTCTCCCTTGGTTTTCTGTTTTTCGCCTTTTTGGCCGAGACTGGTCCGTTTTGGTCGACCGGATGGTGATGGTATGGACTACAGCTCGAACCGTGAAGATTTCCTCGACCTATCTTGAAATTTCGTCGACCAATATTGTATAATATGGCGACTGGTGAAGTTTGGGGTCGTTTGAACGAGTGGTTTGAGATCTCCTTTGAAAATTTTCAAATTGGCTCCGGGAACGTCTTCCTTCGGCTTCTCCAATTCTGCTCGTTCCAATCTGGATTTTCTTCTTTAGATGCGATGTGGATGCTTGATGAGGTGATTTGAGCCGGTGGTGCCGCGGCCATTTTACTTGCTCGCGATCGGCCAAATTTCACTCCATCGGCCATCTCTTGAATTGTAAGGAATTCATTGTACTGAAATGAAGTTTCATCGACCAACCTTATGTTTTGTGGCTCCTTGTGAAGTTTGAGGCGATTTGAACGTGTGGATTCGGAGATCTTTCGTCGTGCGCGCCAATGGCTTCGGGATGTGATTCCTTTGGCCATCTCTATCTGTTCGATCGTCTCCTTCCTTTCTTCTTCCTTGGTGTTTTTTGGACTCCAGAGGATCAGTTTCCACCGGTGTTCGCGCCTTCTTGAGGTTTTGAGTTCGTCGGCCATTCTATGCATCGCCGTCGGCCGTATTGAGCTTCCTTCGTCTATCTCACGTAGCAGGCACTTTTCTCGTCCTATCTTTTGGATTTGCCGACCAAAATGATGTTTTGAGGTCGCCTGTGAAGTTTGGTGGACTTCGGTCGTGCCGTTTGGGAGATGGTCGAGCATTGTCGCTTGGTTCGTCGATTCTGGCCGAGAGAGTGGTTGTGATGTTGATATCTCCTTTTTACTCGGGCCAATTGAGTTCTGCTTCGACCGAACTGTTTTTCTATCCCTCCTGGATTGAATTGTGGTTGGATTTCCCTCATCTCTCATGTTTGGCATGTAAATCCTCCTTTGGCCGGTTGTGGCTCCTTTGCGCGCCATGTTTGTATGATATTTTGAACCGGTTCTTTCCTGTCATATTTTATATCTGAAAAACACTAGTAACTCTTTTGTTAAACTCTGTCAATGATTGAGTTGTTCAAAATAGTTTGAACTTCCCAATCAAAGACTTGATCGTGAAACCATATGTACTTGTGATCTTGATCAGAAATCCAAGTAGTGTGTAGTTGGTTTAATTTGATAGAAATAGTGTTTAAAAGAAATGACA